ACGGCCAATTGCGGTCTGGACAGTTGTCTGCGAACGTGTGCCACAACCAGACCGTACGGATGTACTCTCGGCGCACTCTGCTCGGGCAACGATTAAGCGAGATCGCCGCCGCCGCCGCCGCCGCCGCCGCCGCCACCGCCGCCACCGCGCCGTCCGCCGCACAGCGGGGCAGAGATGCCTGCCCGTTCTCTCTGCATTGTTCTCGCGTAGCGCGAGATCACGTAAGTTCTCGTGTACGTGAAACCACTCGCACTTTTTCGCATAATCGTTAAGCTGAGAGCGAGACGCTCGACGCCGAGCTGCGAATAATGAACGTCCCCGCGAGACCAAAATGCAGATTCGAAATGAAGCCTATACTCGCGACGAAGTGAGGTGTAAGGTCTGGCCCGCGGAGGTGAATTTGCCGACGGCTCATGCTTATTTTTCTACAGCGAGACAATGGCATTGGTCCCCCCCCGATTATACGGTGATTCGTAAGATTAGAAAGACCGCCGTGAACGAACCCGGTGGTCTTCCGAGGCGCGCGAAGATCTTTCAACAACTTTCAGCAACCAGCGCTCTTCTCGAGGCACTGATAACGATCTCGATCTACGAGTGCCGGGCAGATGCTGCCCTCCCCTTAAACGATCACAAGTCCTGCAATTGAGTCGGCGGAGCTGTACGCTTATACGCGGGCAATTGTCCTCGTGAGCGGAAAGTACTTGCTGTCCTACTTTCATCGGCCAGCCCTAATGGGACCCATTACTGGGCACGTGATCAGAAACCAGCGATTTTCTGGCGCGGGAGTAAAAATCTCGCGCGTGAGTCTCCCTCTCTCTCTCTCTCATTCTCTTTCAAACGATCTCCGTCGCACTCGGCGAACTTGCGTTCCCGATAATCCGTGAACGTCCAACTACTCTCTAAAAGTCAATCAGTCGATCATCACTGAAAACAGCGAACAGTCACTGATTTACAGTTATAAGTATACCCAGGGTTGGGAAGTAACTCGTCACTCGTAACGAAGTTACAGTTACTTTTTTTTTGGTAACTCTAACTTAACTTCGTTACTTTCTCTCTGTCTGTAACTGTAACTTAACTCGGTTACATTTTTCTGATAACCAGTAATTAATTTAATAATTACATTAATAGTTACTTTATATATTTTTTCAACCCCTACAGATCGCATTAGGTCTTGCATTTGCGCATAAACGCCTTTATCGACACTTTATAATTCAAAACGTAGTTTTGATATTTTTATTTTCATCGCAAGAAAGTAACTGCAAAGTGATGATTCGCTACTTTTTGAGTAACTGTAACGCGTTACTTTTCAGAATTGGTAACTTGTAACTGTAACTAGTTACATTTTTAGCGAAACAAATTGTAACTTTAACTAGATACTTTTATTAAGTAACTTTACCAAACCCTGAGTATACCACTGCGATTTTCAGTGGTGTACTTATAACTACAAATCAGTGACTGTTCACTGTTTTCAGCGATGATCCATCGATTGACTTTTAGAGAGCACGCTTTGATTTCTGCACGCGGGAAAAAGAATGATGCTGTATCAACAAGATAAGCGTAATTGAAATAAAATCGTTGAAACAACATCGGTATTAATAAATGAAGAACGTCAGATTGCTGTCTTAATAATCTGGATATTTAGTTCAATGCTTAAAATTAAAATCCATAGCAAATGCAATTGAGCGAATTATTTATGTTTGTGGCAGTCCGTGACGTTGACGTTTAATTCGAGCAACTTCATTTTGCTTAATTCAACAGCATCCTTTTCCGTGTGCGTTTCTCTTTGTTTTTGCATTCAATTTTCCCAAAATATAAATACGTAATATGTCATTGTCCGAGATTGACAATTAAACATATCGATGAGAGATTAGGACGTTGCCTCAATTTTATCAGTCGATCGCGCGTTCACTCATATCGTACTTTCGCATCATATTCCCAAATAACAAAATGTAATAGACGTGATCGTCGTGAAGAAATATTATATGAAAACGATCGAAAGAACATTTTTTTACGTCAACCACGTCGATCAACGTGTGGCGCGACACGCCGGCGAGTACAGAAAAGTACGAGAAAGTTGAAAGGCATTTCGCGAGCCTTTTTCCAAGAAGCGAACTCGGATGTGTAGGGACGCGATCCAGCGATAAGTTAATCGTAAGGCATTGCGGTAATACGAAGAATCCTCAGGTATAGCGCGCGGCTTCGCGTGACGTTACTCATTCGCTACCCCGGTTTATCCACGACAGTTTCAAGTTTTTTCCACTCCGGCGCGGCGGGGGCCGCCTCTTTCACTTTTTCACCCTCACTTATCTAACGTAACTTCAAGCCGTTTCATTCACCGTATATCTTTACGAAGTAGATGAAAATCGTATCTCTAATGACCCGCGCGATGAATGATTATTAAAAGTGCGTATCTATTTTTAAATCCGGTCCCCCTATTAATTTAAATGCCTTCAGAATTCGCCATTGATCTCAACGGAGCCTTTTGAGACACGACGTGGAGTGACGTCTCTCTCGTTTTCGCGAGACGAGACGTCTGGAAACTTATAAAGCAGCGTCCGTTTAACGTCCCGGGGTGAAAAGGCCCGCCATTTTTCCCTTGCCGACTTTATTTCGTTATTTTTCGTACGCGCAAGACATTATATATACCGAAAAGAAAGATTTTCGCCACCGTAGCTAATCATGGCTTGCTAAAAATATTTTGCTGCTGTAACTATCAATTTCTAAGCCCCAGCAAACGGTTTGCTGTCGCACCTAATACAGTAGGTATGAGTCCATGAGCCCTTGCCCTTTTAACTTTTTTTTACTTTTGCACTTAACTTATTAATTAATTAACTTATTTATGTTTTTTACTCTTACACTTGTTAATTAATTAATTTCTCTAACTTGTTATCTTACTATTTATCTATTTATTTATTTCTCTTCACTTGTAAAAACTTCAGATATGATATTATGAATTTGTTGCCACAGACTCATGAACTCATTCTGTTTCGGCATAAATGAATTTTTTTCAGTCCACATTAGGCATTTTCCTTTGTATCCTACTTAAAGTTCTTTTCTTGGTATTGTGGTTCGAGCATTTTGAGTAATTTGTTTCCAGATTGTACTTGAAAAGGACCCGATAAAGAGGTCGAAACGGCGTGTGACTTAAATAAAGATCACTTTTTGCCAGTCTGGTCGACTTAAAAAAAAATTCCCCTTTGTCTAAAACAGTAGGCACAGTAGCAAAATACTTAGCTGTCGCAACTAAATATTAGCCGTCCATATTTTACAACTGAACTTTAGTTGCCACAGGCAGTTTTCAGCTGCGACGGCTACGCATTTTCCCTTCCGCGTGTAAACAGCCCGAGTCGCTTGGAATTCTCTTAAAATACGTGACATTAGGGGAGCTTTACGAAAAATACCTCATTTCGCGCGCTTGATTAGTCGCGATTACAAGAAATGGAGGAAAAAAAAATACCGTGATACCTTACATGACGCGGTCAACGATCGCGATCGATAAAGGCTTAAGGTGGCTTTCACCTGTGACATTAGCCCCGTACGTCTCTCTGCTTCTGATATTCGTTTGCTAGAACTCGCATGGCGCGGATGCACAATATTTGCCGCCTGAACGAGCAGCTTGTATCATAAATGTTGGTAAAAAGTTGGCCAAGTACTGCAATATTCACCATCGGACGACGGGAGTTTGTCCGTGTAAGAGGGACCGCGGCGTATCGAGCGTTAAACTCGTTACGAAATAAAAGTGAACCGTAAACGTGCGTACGACGACGTTACGTAAGAGTGGGAAATGAGTGCATCTTTATCAAGGATCGCGGTATCATCGGTCTCCGATTATTCTCGCGAGAACGCTATTCGAGGCTCTAATTAATACGTCACATTTAAGTGAGTAAATTAACCGAGGGGAATTTAAAAAAAAATCGACCCAGCTGGCCTTTAGTGACTAAAATAAACATCAATTTGGCCAGTTTGGTCGATTCTTTTTTTAAATTCTCCTTGGTCGATCACCACTGGCGACACAAATCTACCGAAATTGTTGAGTAAATTAAGGTATTTCTGTAAAGACGCTCTGTAACACTGTTTCTGTGCAAAGTACGTGGCACTGTAGAGCAAGAGAGAAAAACCGAACAGACGAAGGAGAGCTCTAGAACTTGTGGAACGAAGGTTCTCTTACAGAACACACTCCTAAATTGTTTTAGGTTCGGCGAACACTGTTTCTATAGAGTTAAATTTAACTCGATAAGTAGAGTCGCTCAATATGTCGTCAATTAAAGAACGGAGGTAAAAAACCATAAGATGGGATTAATTCTAATAAAAATTTATCCAAAGGGATTTCAGTGTATGAAAAAATGAGATTCCATCTATTCTTCGCATTTTCGATCGTCAAATCAAAGGGAATATTAGCGAGCGTGAAAACTACATTCAAGGAGATCAGTAGGAATCGACACCATAAATGTATCGAGTAAAAGATGGAACGGTTGTTTTTTGAACTGTGTGTGTCAAAGTAAGAAATTCTACCATACATGACAATTAAAAATAACAGCGTATCGAACGGGAGCACTCATTGACGGCTGCTCGTTGATGCAAATTTAACACTGCGAATTTAAAATAGCGAAGATGAGGCTGCAAATCCTACGAGCTTCAGATTCGTACACGCCAGCGATGCGACAGTGGCCCAACGATAAATCACACGACTGATCGCACATAAAATTTTACCGTCGCGGGAAGCGCCGTTTAGAGCAAGTATTTTTAAGCCCTGTCGAATGGAAAGCCGTCGTTGAATTAAATTCGAGAATAGTTCTGAGAACGTACTTGGGAGTAACAAGGGTTTGTCCCGGAGGCGCGAAACGTTTACGATCGCGGACGCGTATTCGATTTGTTACAGTTCGTTAAGGGTCGATGCGTGCGTGCGCGTGTACCTCACGGCAGTGCCAGGCAAGTCTCTCGACAAGCCTTCTCGGACACGGTGCGAAGGGTGGCGAAGGGTCGGCGTGCGTGGTACTCACCGTGCGCGCGTGCCGGCGATTGTTACTCGATGATGCGTGTGCGTCTTGTGGTGGCCGAAAAGGTGGCCGCCTCCCTTATAAACACTCAGCTCGCCAGTGGTAATCCTGAGCAGCGGAGACGTGTTCATTAAGCACCGGCGTACCTGTCAGCTTCCCTTAATCGCGCGGCTAATGCGCCTGCATACGGAAGGGCGTGCGGTCAACCGTGAACTGCCCCCTACACCCTCATTTTGCCCTCGCGCCGGCCGATTTCGGTCCACGGTGCCGGGCGACCCCCGAAAGCCCTCGCCCGTCCTTTGTTCCACGACCGGAAACCACGGCGGCGACGTCAAGTCAGATGACGTGCGACTTTTTTCCCCCCTTATTTTAGATTTCACGTGAACCACGTTAAGTCTAACCTCGTGGCAAATTTTACATATCTCTGCTTTTAAAATAGCGCTTGAGGCTTGGACCCGGCGTTAAACAAGAAAATGCAATAAAGTGCGATATACTTGAAAAAATTAAGCTAGGGTGACACATTTTTTTAAATATAACATCTGAGCTTTTGCAAAGTGCCTTATGTTAAGATTGATCCCGTAATATGTTGGTTTTAAAATACGTTTCGTTATTTTTTCACGCGGCGCAGTATATAAAACTCTTTTCGTCATTTTATCGTGTTCCACGTTTCTTCACGTGCATTAATTGCTAATTTAAATGTACACTGATAAAAAAATGTCTTAATAAAAAAAACATTACTCAAGAAAATTATTCATTAGGTGGCTCCTAATAGTTTATTAACTTAAATTTTAAAAAATAATAAACATATTAAAACACGCATTTCTTTAATTTAAGTAATAGAGAAAAAATTTATAATTTTGGTTTATTTTTTACTTCAACATTACTTCGAGACTTTCGACTATCGACTTAACACGTCTATTGTTTATATAAGAAAGAAAAAATAAATTTAAGCAAATCTGTTTACTTCGTTTAAAAAAATTTTTTCGTCAGTGTACATTGAAAGCACATACGCGCATTGGCGCTTCTTGGGACGAGATGATCGCATATCGATGCCCACTTGACATCCTTCGAACTTTATCAGAGCTTTATCTTTCAGGCTTCCGCGAGAGTGGGCATACTTTGCGCCGGGTATCTGCAATCCCGTCGATTTTAAAAATAAGATATTTTTCGCGTCGCCGGACCCGCTAGATCGGAAACCTCCCGTGTCCCCGAAATAGCGCTCGCCGGCGCTGACCGAAATGGAAATTTTAAATGGAACACCGGCGTCGCTTTTACAGTTGCTCGGGCTGAGCCGGCGTGACTTACCAAGGACACTGTTTTCGATTAGAAAGGATCTTGCCACAATAGATCAATGAGCGTCTTCGGTCTTTCTGGGCGTCGCGCCGCGAAGTCGGTCGGTCCGGCACAAGCGGTCGTCTCGAGGACGATTATTAACGCGGTACCTTCGTGTCCAGTTTTCCCTCGTCCGATGACCGGATTTCGCAGGCAGTACGAAATCTAATTTAGCTGTTCCTAATATAGACAATATCGAGGGTTTGTTTGGCCCCACGCTGGAAGCCAGTGTCGTCTTCGGCGTGTCGGCTTATTTAGAGGCGGGGTGTTTTGACCGGGCGAAAATAACTACAATATGTACTTGATCCGCCTAGCTGTTCTCCAACGGAAATTAAATCGGAATTATCTATGTATTAATCTAAAAATTTCCTAACCCATGGTCGAAATGTAGCGAGTCTTGAACATAAAAATTGCCAGATACGGTCAAGCAAACTCGATGTTGTTCAATAGGAATCTTAAGAACGAAAGAAATCAACAGAGGTAGCTCGCGATTTAATTTTAAACAAGTTCTCCGGATGTAATGTAGTTTCTCTATTGTCTCTACGATTAGTCGGTCTTCAGCGAAGATTTGCATCCCAATTAAAACATAACAAACTTTAATACGTTTAGAAAATGCGAGAACAACATTTCTCGCCGATGGAAAATAAACGGGGGAAAAATATCGCAGACGCTTATTTTTGAAATTATTGTGCGCGCATAAAATAAATATATATATCCCTTAAGGATGTGATAAAATTCATGCGTGCGACGCAACGCGCGCGTGCGAAACTTAATGATGGAACGGGGAAGATAATGGTAATTGCAATTCCGCGTACGCGTTTCGCGCGGATGGAAAGGCCGGTACGAAATTGGGTAATTCGCAAGCACCCTGTACATTGCAAACTTCGTGTTTTCATTTCCATATTTATCGGGCGTAGCTTTTTTACATTACTCGCGCGCGCGCACACACGGCGGTGCATTAATACGTTTGGCCCGTGGGTGAGGGACGTGATAGGGTAAAAGTCTTGTAACTTCCACATGCATACTGTATGATGTTTCAACAGCCTGGCATCCGATGAACATGAAAGCCAGCTTGATTCATTACTTTGCCACTTTGCAACCCGCAACCGGCTTGCTTTCGTGCTGCAATCGATAATAAGTTGCAGGTAATGCATGGACTAAATTGACGATCGGGCGATGACCTTTCGAATAAACTTTGTTTAGCAAAGCGACGAATAAGATACGTATATTCTTGCAAAGTTTCGAGCATTACCAGAGGAATCGATAAACATAGTTGAAATCTGGTCTCTCGCTGTAATCTCCGCGGCGTGATCGTCCCGATATAAACTTTTCAGTGTGCTTGCGCGAGGCTATAAATAGAACGCGACTTGTGACATGCCGTAGGAAACTGGAGTTTCGTAGGATTTAGGATTATTATTCAGAAATATTGGTAAAGACGATGGAATCGCTTAAAAATAAAACGCATTTGGCCTGCAACATAATTTTAAAAGATGTAAAATCGCTACGAATATCAGCCTACATTTAAAAGAAAGAATTTACGCGGAATTGTCGCAACGTTGTTCCTCCACGCGTCCTCAATCGATTGTACAACATTAGGAGCACGAAGACCGGTACGAGAGGGGAAAAATGCACACGAGGGAAGTGAAAGACGCGCAATTGTTTTAAATATATTTTATAAAACGTCCTATTTTTTATACAGCATATAAAACAATACTCTGTATTTATTTTATATTCACACATTAGCTCTATATGACTGTACCACCATAACCTTCCGTTATATGCATAACTTTACAGTATTCGGCGGATTTTACATTTAATACTATGACAACGCACTGTCCTTTGTCTGCTGAATCCCCTGCTTGCCGCTGATAGTCGCGGCGGCACTCTGATTGAACTGATCGGAATTGGCGTGTTTCGTGCCGTGCTTCTGCGTGATATCTAGCTTCGTTACGTCGGCGCTTATAATCCTATCGAAAACCCTGTCCGTGGTAGGTTCCACGATGTTAGTCAGTTCGGGGACCGTCGTTTGCTTCGGACCCTGCCCGTCCTTCGTTTCCGCGCCGACGCTGCTCATCGCACGGGCGGGCTTTGATGGACCTTTCAAATGTATAATGTGATTATTCAGGGACTCGGTATTGCTCTGCTTACTTCCTATGTGATTGTGAACTGTCGCGTGATTCGCGAAAACGGAATCGGCCTTTCCCAAAAACTGCGTGCTCGACGGCTCGGTATTGAAGGGCCGGTCCTTCACGTTACTGTTCCAGAAAGAATCGTCGAAGACGCCGTCGTCGCGCTGATCCGGCGGTAGACGACTGATACGGGTCCTCACGATCGAGAGGTGCCTCTGCACGTAGTCCTGGTGTGGCGCCAGAGCGGCAGCGCGCTCCAAGCATTGCGCTGCTAAGCCCAGCTTACCCCGTTCCACCATCACGACGCATAAATTATGTAATCCTTGTATGTTGGTGGGATCCAGCTGCAGTATTCTGCGATAACACTGAAACGATTTGACGTTATATCTCTAGAATTATCGACGCGAACGATCTATCATTGTACGAGGCACAGATTGCGTATATTTCTAGGCGTAAATTGTCAAGAGGAAATTGTGTCGAGTTTCGCGCGGCGTCTTACATTTTCTGCAGCGTCTAGATCCTTTATGTTATTGATATAAATGTCTCCCAGGAGGATTAGGCCCTTCACGTGATCCGGATGGAATCTGACCAACTGGTTCAGAAACGGCGCCGCTTCAAGCGGGCGTTGCTCGTCGGCCAAGAGTAACGCGAGATTGAACAGCGCAGAGCGGAAATCTTCTTTCAACGCGACGGCATTGCGGAACCAACGTTCCGCGCTGCCACTGTCGTGATCGTCCATGGCCAGCATTCCCAGATTGAAATGCACACGCTCGTTATTAGAATCCTGTAATCAGATAAATGCGCATAAGCCCACGTTAACATAATAATCATAGTTTTAAGGACCTTTGGAAAACAAAAGACGCGAGAGATTACCTTCCGTAAAAGCTTCAGCAGTCTCTCCCTAGCTACTTTACGCAATTCTGCCCGTCCCAATTCTTGGAGTAGTATGGCGGAATTCAGTAATGCCTGTTCGTGCTCTGGATCAAACTCTAAAGCTTTGTCCAAATATGCCAAAGCCTGGGATGCCTTCCCTTGTTCCAAAAATACGACACCAAGCTGTGGAAATGTTAATAATTCGACTTTTGCAATCAAGAGCTTTCCAATGTCTCTTGAACGCTGTCTAACACCGTGTTCCGTCACTATTAGATAACAACTCGATTACTTACATTATAATAGATATCAGGATTATTACTGTCGTAAAATAATGCTCGCTCATAAACTTCTTGAGCTTCTTTTGTACGATTAAGTTTAATTAAAACATCGCCACGATTAATATATGCTTGAGTATAATCCGCGCGCATACTGATCGCTTGTCTGTATAATAAATCAGCCTCTTCTAGTCTAGTTGCGTTCTTAGCTATCAAGTTGGCCAAATTAACAAACACATTTAAATGATTTGGTGCTATACGTGCTTGGTAAGATTCTCCCGGTTTCGCCTTTGGTAGTAATGACTTTGCCTAGAAAGAAAAAATAGAAATGATCGAAAGAGCCAGACAGATTAGTAAAGCTATTAGGGCCCGGTTGCACCAACGTCGCATAACTTTAATCTGTGCTTTTAATTCACTCCTTATTTCTTTCTAAGACAGGAAGAGACGAAGAGTGAGTCAAGTTATGTGATATTGGGGCACCCAAGTGACATTATTTACCTTTAAATATGCGTCTTCAGCTTCCTTGAACATTTTCAGATGATTGTAAGTTCTTCCGACATTAATGTGCGCTCCAATATCATCGCCCTGAACCTGTACAGCCATATTGAAAAAATTCAATGCTTCCTTAAAGCGGCCTTGGCTCTCCAACGCGTGACCCACGTTGTTGAACAGTTTGGCGTTCCTTTCGTTCACTTTTAAGCCGGACATGAATATTGAGTATTCATCTAACCAGTCGTAATTTCTGACAAATGTCTTCGTCGTGTGCGCCGCCAGAAGTGTCACGAGCAAAAGTAGCGTCAGCTTCTTGCACCTGAAAGATCGTCGTTCACGTAAGAGAAAAGATTGTCCACGATTCACGCGAAGACGATCCGTACAAAGTTGCGTCCGCGGACGAAGTCGACTTACTTTTTGTCTGCCAAAATACTCCATCCATATCCAATAAGCATGCAAAACCCCATGGAAGGAGCGTACAACACTCTTTCGGCAATTACAAATCCGACCGGAAAGAAAAGGTTCGACGCGGGTAAAAAGGGAAGTATCATCATAGCCAAACTCTGCAGGCATTATTTTAGGATATTAGTATTGTTAATCATAGGATCCTTGTATATCAGGGTGTCCAGCAAATTCAATGAAAAAAAATTCCCTGACTTTCTCAGGTTTTCTAGGAGCCGGAATTAACTTTTCTCTGACCGTTTAATGTAACTTTTTACAAGATGCATAATTTGCGTACATCTGTAAATCAAGTAAATGTTAAATGACGAAGTCCTTGAAATATTTTTCTCGGGAAACAAAAGTCCGGAATTTAAAAAGATACAAATTTAAATTAAAGCAATTATACCATCTATGTGTAATACAATGTGTAATAGGAACGAACATATCATTACACAACAAGCATCATATATGATGCTTTCGTTTTGCTTAACTGCGCTTTGTTTGCAACTTACTAGATAGTATTATAACTCACTTAGATAGTACTGTTTAGTAATTCATCTTTTTTTTTATCGTTTATCTCACAATCAGTTGAACACATAAAAATAAAATAACACGACAATGAAAGTATAAATTACCGCCCACGCTTATAAATAAATTGATGTTTAGCAAAGTAGAGAAAATTAGTGTACTGAGAGCCAAAGGAAAGTTTATTTTCTAAAAACTTTAAATTCTTCCTCGGATTGTAAACAATCCAGATAAATCGTAAAATTTCCTGGCTTTTCCCTGAAATTTCCTGAGAATTCCCGGTTTTCCAGCCATTTCCCTGACCACTGGACACCCTGGTATATGTACGTACAATTCTAATTAAAACACATGCATATTTTATTCCACAAACATGTACGATTATACTCAAATTACTTATATTCTAATCGACTACGTTCTAATTGCGCGCCGCCCGTCATCTACTGACCATGATAAGTATGACCGACGTCTGTCTGCTACGCGTTACAACGGCTGTCACGAGCAATCCTAGTACGGCTCCGTGAGTACCTAGGGTCGCGAGATTACGGATATCGATAAAGCTTTCTACTAATGGTATCGTCCCCATTGTCCAATCACAGCACAAATCACTTGGAAGAAACAGCAGTCTTAGATTCACTGCGGCGAGATAATTATACGTAAGCTGTCTCGTTGGTGTTGTGGCAACCGATGCGGGATTGTCGAATCTGGAAGGTGTACACGTGATTATTAATTAGCGCGTGGGCAAAATTGTATAAACAATGTAGAAAAGTTGCCTGACGACCCATGGCCGGCGAATTCTAATTAAAGAAATTCATTGCAAAAAATATTACCTCGGCCAGGGTTTGAATCTGGACCTCCCTACACTCTAGGCGGGCGTCTCGCCAATTCGCCTCAGTGGCCGAGGGAGGTCCAGGTTCAAACCCCGGCTGAGGTAATATTTTTCGCAATGAATTTCTTTAACTAGAATTTGCCAGCCGTTGGTCGTCGTGCAATTTTTCTACATTGTTCAATCAATTACTGGCGTTAAAAAAAAATGGTACAAAGTTGCACATATACACTAGCATACCTGGTAAATACAGGTAACTTTGAGCCCATTATATGTAACCGTAGGATAAGCAGGCTAAATGTAACAAGTGTAAGGGCGGTCAGACGTTTTGTACCCTCGCCCGACCACGCAGGTGAAATTTTATTACCACCAAAAGCTGACTTCAGTGCTAAGAAAATATCCCTCGCTCTAACCTGAGGAAAGTTACAGGCGTCAGAGCGCAATCCTGCCCACGGTGGGGAATGTTACGTCGCGCGGGTCTTACCTTCTGTACAACAAAAATCTCATACAGCACACAAACTGCGGTCGCTGTAATTCCCTGCTCCTTGCACAACATCGCGGTAAATACAAAAAACATGGATAATATCAAGGATTTCCACCCTGTAGATCGTTTACTCTTGCAACATTTAGTATATGTGATTAAAGCTGCCAGGTAAAATAGGGAGGACAGAGTTTCCGCCCTGCCAACTACGCCCGTCACCTGGGAATATAAATTGGTTTTATTCACCGGCGACAGTCGCCTGCTAGCAGCAACGCAAAGCGTTCTACGTACTGCTTCTGTGTGTATAGGATGCACAGCGAAAAACAAGGATGACACGAAACTCGCTGTATCTGGCAGAAACATCAAACAGGTCCTGCAAGCAATTTTCCGCGCTGTAGCTTGTTTCTTAACGCGAGCCTTACTAGGAAGTGATCGTCTACAATTTAATCGAGATACTGATTGTAAACCAACCTGAAATATAATAGGCATACTCCAACATGTAGAATAATATTTAGCAGGTGGTATCCCATGGGGTCTAGCTGGTGAATCAGGTAATTCCATCGGAATGTGAGAACGCAAAGAGGTCTATAAGACTTGTGCGATTGTTCCTATTATAAAAGAAAAGGAGAGGCGGTTGATTTACTTCAAAAGTTAGCGCAATTGATCAACTGGCAAGACACCGATCGACAAGATGAATGTAAGAAAAAAAGACAAGTAGAAAGGAATAAACATTCAAATTGTCGAACGTACTGTTTAGGCGAACTTCCGCTGTTCGCGGTGGCATTTTTGCATCTTTCGTAATTAACAAAATCAACCTCGGAGAAAGTTTATTCCGTTCCACCGACTGATATAATTTCGCGTATTATTGTCGATATTGTGGACGAAGAGACATGTGTATTCGATCGTCGTGCGAGAGTCACGGGCAATCGTCCACTCGTCCCCCCGAAGGATTTACGTGGGACCCGAATTCCCCGTCGGAGCCTACGCCGATCTCGAGAGCGGCCGTTCCGGCCGCGCTCTCGAGATCGATAGAATTCCGGCGACGTCAAATTGCCGGAGGAGCGGAGTGCAAGGTGAAAACCCAATATTTGCCAATCCTCGGGAGCAAACGCCGGGCGAGAAGGGGGGGGGGAGGCAGAGAGATCGTTCTCGCGCATTGGTTCTCGCGGGGGAGGAGGAAAAATTCGAAATTTTGCGAGAGACCGCAACGTCGATCTCGATCCCTCCGTCCCCCTATTGTCGGACGACCCCGCGCGAGGGGGAGAGACGGAAGAAGACAGGACGGGGGATCGGATCGGGATGAAATGGACAGGACGCTCGCGGATCAATACGCAGGGGGCCATCTGTAGGGGAGGGGGAGGAGAGGGAGGGAGGGGGATCTCGGCCGCGCGTCCTCCAACGGGGGTCGGACGATGCCTCCTCTTTTTTTTCTCTCTCGCTCGCTCGCTCGCACCTTGTGCATCGGGGTGCCCCAGAAGTCGTTGTAGAAGACATTCTTGAGGGGCGTGTGGGGCCGGAGGTCGCGGTTGTCCTTGATCGCCGAGATGTCGTCGAAGACGAAGCCGCAGCCGAGGCTGTTTAGGTACACGGCGAACGCGGTTACCGCCACGATCGCCGCGAGTGCTCCCCGCGCAGGCACTCCCATCACAAATAAAACATCGATCGGCCGGCCGCCTTTCCGTTTCTTTCCCGCACGATCGCCGCGGACACCGCCGCGCCGGGCAACGGAAGGAGGACCGTTCTCCCTTTCGCCTCGCTCTCTCTCTCTCTCTCCTCTCTACCGTCTTCTCCCTCCCTCTATCTCTCTCTCTCTCTCTCTCTCTCTCTCTATCTCTTTCGCTCGCGGATGCTCTCTCAACCGTAGGAACTCCACGAGGAACGCACGAATGTCATTTCCACGCACGTTGACCGCGTAGCCGCGTCCGCGTTTAGGCACATCACTACTGATTCCGGGGCGTCGCAACCAGGAGGCATCAGCGCGAGTGCCGGCGAGCCCAAGAACCGCGGCGTCGCGGCCTCACCGACATAGTCGTCACCAGTGCGGGGCAACGACCCAGGGGGGGCGGGAGGGGAGAGAGAGAGAGCGCGAGCTCCTCTCTCTCGCTGCCGTCGGGAGGGGAGGGGGGAGGACTTCCTCTCGCGATCTCCGCGATCTGCCCGGTCTCCTGCGACTCGCGACTCCAACCCGGCGATCACGAGGGAGACGCGACGCGGGGACGCGATCACCGCGGCGGAGAGCAGACGTAACCCGCGATCACGTATCGCGCACCGCGATCGAGCTGTCAAACGCGGCGTACTCGCGCTGCTGCGCACCGTCGGCGTCGCGACGCCAGCGACGCCCGGCGTCGACGCCGATGCGCGGGACAAGTTTTGATCCCCGGCGTCTCACCTCCGGCCACACTCGCGCGCCCCGGCGAGAGGAGATCTCGATCGCCGGAGGTGAGAGCGAGTGTCTTCTTCACGTCTGTCTGTCTGTCTCTCTCTTTCTCTTTCTCTCGCGCGCGAGGAGCCTCGCCGCGCGCCCCTCGGTCTCTTTAAACCGGCGACTCCGGGCGACGTCGGTCACTTATCCGCGGAGCGCGCGCGGCGCAGGTGGCGCTGACGGCCGGCGACGTCTCCGACTTGAACATTGCCGCGCAGCCGCTCGTCCGTCGCTGTCTCGTGCGACTGCGCGGTGTGTTTCCTCGGCGTTACTCCTTCCCCGAGCGTGTGTCCCTCTTCCCTGCCGAATAAATGCGCTCTCTACGCGCACGTAGAGCGAGGTGAACGCTACTCCGCGCAGCGCCTTGCCGGGACGAGAGTGTCGTCGTGGCCGGAGCACAGGATTCCATGATCATCGAGGTTCGCTGCTCCAAATCGGTAAGCGCGGTGGCGAGCGGGTTCGTCTTCTTTGTTTGTTGTTCTTTTGCCGCGGTAGCAAGAGCGAGAGGGCGAGAGAAAGAGAGAGAGAGAGAGAGAGCGAGTGGGAGGAACGTGCCCGGCGATCGTCCGATTTTCCCCCCCGAGTCTCGGAGGGGCTTCCTCCGTTTACCGTTTAAACTGTAACTGTACGGGAATTCTGTGACTCGCTGTCGCGGCCCTTCGGTATCGTTGACTAGCGATAACCCGCGAAAAGCCGCGGTCCTCTTTCGAGGATCGTCCTCGCCACCACCGGTTATCGCTGGTTAACGATACCCCGAGGAGCATCGGCAGCAAGTTACAGAATCCCCGTGCTGACTGTACCGGCCGAGAATATCCCAGTGTATTCCACGCTCGCGCTCGCTCCCTCCCGGTCCTCCTCCTCTTTGGCGTATTTTCCTCGCGCCCGAACACCGTTTAACTTGGCGGGCCCCTCGGGGATTCCTGTAGAGCGCCGTGAGCAATGAGAACGCCACTGGGCGCTGATCGAATTGTTGTTGAGCGTCGTCTCTTGTTTGGCCGCAGGCGATCTGAGCGTCCGCTATGCCGCGAAGGAGGCAGCAGAGGCATCGTCCCATAGGCGAGGACACCCGCATCGCGGTGAACCTGACGGTGAAGAAGCTGCTGGACGCCCCGGACCAGAAGGAGCTGGAGTTCCCGTCGTCGTACACGGCGGAGGAGCGGGCGTACATCCACGAGCTCGCCAGGGAGCTCGGCCTGAAGTCCAAAAGCCGGGGGTATGGGACGCGCGCGCCACGTTTTTTCTCGCTCTGTCCCGTTCGCGGACTCACCTCGATTTCCTCTGTCTCGCAGGAAGGGCATGAATCGATTTCTGACGGTGTACAAGAGGGAGGGTTCGACGATAGTCCAAGCCGACGCCGTGATAAAGCTGCAGAAACCCTCGAAGCAGGCTATATACAATCTGATGCAGACCTTCCCGTTGAACCACAAGGAATGCCAAGACCTGCTGCCTCCGATCGAGAGGGAGCGGCCGCTCAATAACGATGGTACGGCAAATTGAGATCGCGGTGTCAGTTTTTCACGTCGATTCGTATCTAGAAATTGTAGGATCGCGCAAAGTATCGGGCTCCAAACTAGCTTTTGAGAAGGGACGCTCTTGCTGTTGCAGTAAATACAAACACCAAGGCGATGGGCAGACTGAACAACAGCATACCACAGGTACCTCAGCTGAAGACCAATTTCGAGGTGCTGAACTTTCGCAAGTCTCTGCCGATCTTCAGCGCGAGGGAGGAGATTCTCGGCGCGCTGAGCAGCCATCAGGTGGTGATAATCGCGGGCGAGACGGGATGCGGCAAGACCACGCAGGTGCCGCAGTACATTTTGGAACACTGTCAGCAGAAGCATCAGGCCTGCAGGATTATCTGCACCCAGCCTAGGCGCCTGTCGGCGGTGTCGGTGGCCGAGAGGGTGGCGTTCGAGAGGGACGAGAAGATCGGCCAGACCTTCGGCTATCAGATAAGACTGGAGAGCAGAGTGGCTCCCAAAACTCTCCTGACGTACTGCACGAACGGGGTGTTGCTTAGGACTTTGATGGGCGGCGACTCCGCCTTGACCACGCTCACGCATATCATCGTCGACGAGGTTCACGAACGGGACAGATTCTGCGACTTCCTGCTGATAGCCTTGAAGGACGCTCTGGTGAAATATCGTTCCTTGAAACTGATACTGATGAGCGCCACGATGGACACCACGATCTTCACCAAGTATTTCAACAAGTGCGTCGTCATCAACGTACCCGGCCGGTCGTTCGACGTCGACGTGTACTTTCTGGAGGACGTCTTGAAGATGACCGGTTACATGACGAAGGAGATGCTCGTGAAGAAGAAGGAATTCTTGAAGTGGAAAGACAAGCAGAAGACCCTGGAGTCCTGGAAGCAGTACAAGCCCCAGCACACGAGCAGAAGCACCAAGAGCGAGAAGAGCCTGCTGCCCGCTCCGATTCTGGCCCAGCAGAGCGATCCTATACCGGAGAAGGTCAAGCTGGAGCCCTGGCTGATAGAAGAGATGGACAAGAGTATTTTCGACGCGTGGGTAAACGGCAGAGAGGACAATTTCGCGCAGCTTTTACATTTTATACTGTCCGAAAACGTTTCTGTAGATTACCAGCATTCGGAGACCTTTATAACGCCGCTGATGGCCGCCGCGGCCAGAGGCTGCATAAACACGACCGAGCAACTCCTGAATCTGGGCGCGAATCTCAACTTGAGATCCGCCAACGATTGGACGGCGCTGGATTGGGCCAAGAACAGGAGCCACACCGAGTCTGCCGAACTAATCGAGGCGTACATGAAGACTTACGACTGCGCGGTGCCGAGTAACGAACTTGCGCACGTCGGCGAGACGTCGCTCTCCGAAGAGGACAAGCTGCTGCTCGACATATACCATCATACGTTTAACGACGACAATATCGATTACGATCTGCTGTTGGAGCTGATCTTTTACGTCCACGTTAAACTCCCCGCCGGCTCCATTTTAATCTTTCTCCCAGGGTACGACGACATAGTCACGATGAAGGAGAGGATAAACGCGGACGACAAGAAGATGAACCAGGGCTTGCGTTACAACCTGTACGTTCTTCACTCGAACATGCAGACTTGCGATCAGAAGAAGGTGTTCAAGCCCAGTCCTCAGGGCACGCGGAAGATAATCCTTTCTACGAATATAGCGGAGACTAGCATCACGATCGACGACGTGGTGTACGTTATTGATTCGGGGAAGGTCAAGGAGAAGTCTTTCGACACTTTGTCAAACGTGTGCACGCTGACGTCCAACTGGATATCGCAGGCCTGCGCGAAGCAACGGCGAGGTAGAGCGGGTAGATGTAGAAGAGGGGTCTGCTACCGTCTGTTCTCTTCAGTTCGATACGATAACATGCAGCCTTACCAGACGCCCGAAATCCTGCGACTACCGCTGCAGGAGCTCTGCCTGTATACGAAACATTTAACGTCGGGAAACACACCAATAGCCGAATTTCTGGACAAAGCCCTGGAGCCGCCGTCCAACATGGTGACCAGGAACGCGGTGCAATTATTGAAGACAATCGACGCGCTGGACCCGTGGGAGGACCTGACCGAATTGGGGAGTCATTTGCTAGATCTGCCAATCGAACCGAGACTCGGGAAGATGTTGCTCTACGCCGTCGTCCTCAAGTGTCTGGATCCAATTTTAACGATAGTTTGTAGTTTAGCGTACAAGTGGGTATACATTTACATGCATAATAGTTGCTGTTTACAGCTGTTCTTAATTGTCCACGAAATGTTACAGAGATCCCTTTATATTGCCGTCGCAACCGTCGCAAAAGAGAGCCTTGACCGCGGCGCGAAAAAAGTTCGCCACCGGGACGTTTTCGGATCATATGGTGGTCCTGAGGGCGTTTCAAGGCTGGCAGAACGCCAGAGCGAGCGGCAAGGAGCGCGCCTTCTGCGAGAAGAATTTCATCTCCGCCCCCGTGATGGAGATGGTAGTTGGGATGCGCACGCAGCTCCTCGGCCAGTTGCGCGCGTCCGGCTTCGTCAGGGCCAGAAGTCCCGGGGACATTCGGGACTTGAATTCCAATTCGGAGAATTGGGCGGTCGTGAAGGCGGCCCTGACCGCGGGCTTGTATCCAAACTTGATTCGGGTTGACCGAGAGCATATGCAGCTGCGAACACAGTACGTGCAATTGTTACACTCAACAAGCTGAGATGACCCGTGGGACACTGTGGATAACATTGCTGCTGATTACAGGAAAGAGGTCAAGGTGTTCTTCCACCCCTCGTCGACTTTGAGAGATTATCCAAAGTCCTCGAGGATGACGTCTGCGCAAACGCATGCGACCAACGTGCAAACCTTGCCGTGCGATTGGTTGCTTTATGAGGAGATGACCCGTACAGGACGTTTCTGCCACGTGAAAGTCGTCACGGTCGTTAATCCGTTAACTGTAGCGTTATTCAGCGGACCAGCTAGATTACCGATGGACGTCATCTACGAAGCCGAGGGTGAGCGATACTTGACGCGCGCGGCGCACATTCTATTTGTAACGTAAACGCCTGTACGCAAATGTCGCTGTTACGTTTGCAGCTGTGCCGGAGAGCGAGTCGGATTCCGAGGTTGACGAATCCCACGAAGGAACCATTTTTAAACTCGATGATTGGGTAGTGTTCAAGCTCGATCCCGAAACGGCCCAACTCTTCTTACATTTGCGGCAGAAGTGGAACGCCTTGTTCCTCAGGCGCATGAAGGCACCGAACAAGGCAATGTCAGCCTTGGACGAGAAGGTCGTTAACGCTTTGGTGACTGTAATCACGAATGAGGAGCAGGCGTGTGGCCTCCAGCAGCCCACTGGTATCGGCCAACGTCCGCGTCCGTTAATCGTCGATTATTATCCCGCAAACGTTAGAAGAGACGATTACCCGGAGGTAAGTCCATAGTTACTGTTTAATGCTACTTACATGCAGTTCGTTCGAACGAGTGTTAACGTTGATCTATGCATTTTTAGAGATATTTCTAAAGCAAGAGGAGGAAATGTAGTCTATTGTCGTGTACAATCTGCGGTCTGTGTTTCTCTGGTCACTAATTTCAACGACCGATCACTGTATCCATAATGCTGTAGCTAAATGACCTTTGTTGATAACGGATATTTGTAACGAGATACTAGTATAGTATTTATGGATATTTATTGAATGTATGAATGTTGCATATATATAAATATTATATACATTCTAATTTGCAGTATTGACAAAGACTGTTATAATAAGTTTTTGAATAATACTCATATAACATTTGTGATCCTCTTTGCAGAGCCTGCGTTAAACTAGCAACGTTCGATTAAGTTTTACCATGATATTTTAACTTCTACGATAGGGTATTCTTTTACTTTTCAGTACTAAAGCACTGAAGAATACTGACGAAAGCTGATATCAATCGTCATCAAGGTCGATATATATATCTTTCCGCGATAGGTCCGTTCCATCAGAGTAAAATTATTGTAAATCTATCGGACGTCAAATTATCGTTTGACGGTCATATGTCATTAACATGGAAAATGGGTTTTAATCTGATCCTTTTAATCCGGAAGTATGTAAATAGGCCTTAAACCTGCGTATCTTATAAAAATATGTGATATATTGCATAGGCACTAAACTCTAACTTAACTACCTTTTGTACTATGTATAGTGGTATTAAGTACTCTCTTGATATGTAGCTAGTGTAAATCGAGTAGCCGGCTGCATAGAGAGCGAGCGAGGGAGGAATAATTCGTCATTGTCATGCGCCACTTGGCAAAGTTTTTCTTGCAGTATTCTACATAGAGGTTACGATTATTGTTTAATACATATTGTTTCAGGAACAGACTGAGAATTTTGTACATCTTTGACATGTGTACACGTCAATTTGTGTACACTTACTATTGGCAGCTATTGGACACTTGCTTTACATTTAGTCGACACCGATTAAAGTATGAACCTTTTAATATACGTATATTGATAAAGAGTCACGCGTGATTCACAAAATCTCGGTAGCGTTTTATTTTGTTTTCATTTCGTAATTGTATAGCGTTATAATTCCTAGCGATTACACGGCTAATCCAGACCTTCACCAACGTCGTTTGATCTTAGCTTGCGGCCCGGTTTCACCAATATCGCTTAATTTTAAGTTTAGTTTAATTCGTTCGTTGTCCCTTTCCAACTTTAGGCCCGATTTCAACAACGTTGTTTAACTTTAAGCTTGGCTTCATTCGTTCTTTGTCTCTTTCCAACTGTTGAACTAGAAAAAGACAAACAAGAATTGAACCAAGATTGAAGTTAAGGCGTTTGGTGCAACCGGGCCTAAATCATCTTTTGCCTCTTTGCACGGGGACAGTTGGACGACGCTGGTGTAAACAAGTAAACGCAAATAACGAAGCTGTAGACGGGGCACCACAGGGCGAGCTTTAAGCCAATTGTAATACTGGTCGATGTGATAACGAAACTTGCGTATAATAAAAGCTAGCGGAGAAAAGAGATGTAATTCTCATTTTATTTGCGGATCTTCGTCGCGATCGATTCTCACGCCCGGCGAGAGATGATTCGTCGAAACGATGTCGAATCGCTGTCGCGTTCGGCGTCGATTCGGCATCAATTCGACGGTCTCGATTCAATATTGTTCCGACATCGATTGGCGAGTCATTTCTCGCTGGTCGGCCGAACTTTGACCCCCGCTCTGTGCGCAACGTATACACAAGGCGATTATGTATTTAAGTCTCGGAGAATGTATCTGAAGTAAAAGGGGAATATTTTACGCGCGTAAGCTCAAGCGTTACTTCAAAAGTTTACAGTATCGACGACGTAAAGAAATCTCTTATTTCGCGCTTCACGTTCACTGTCTCAAGTATTTCCGTACAATTAAACACGCATCACTGTATACATGCGACGTGCAGAATCGTTACGTCACGAAGTAAAGCAAATTCCGTCTGTTACACCACGATAATGTACATTTCCATCGCGATTATTCGGAGAAAAAAAAAGTCGCGTATCAAGTTGTCTTCGAGTCTCGACGATCTCGGAGCGTCGCCGGGATCAAATCCCGTAAATAAACCGCGTACGCACGGCTCTCTCTCTCTCTCTCTCTCTCTCTCTCTCTCTCTCTCTCTCTCTCTCTCTCTCTCTCTCTCTTCACGCGCGTCGAAACCGTCATTACTCAAATTACGAAAAGTGTAAGAAGAAAACGCAATGAGAAAATGTACATTCTATATAAAGAAAGAAAAAAAAACATGAGAGGCAGCACACGTGAGGTGCCCGCGCGCGCAGTGACGCACGTGGCGCGTCAGATCGCACTGTCATTCATGCAATCTCGGGGGGGGGGGGGGGGCCCACGTGATCGCTCGGTGTCGGCGATCTTGGTTATGTATTTCCCGACGAGCGTGACGTCCGTCCGCGAGTGGACAACGCACGACACGAGGCACTTTTCCCGTTTAAGGCGCATCGAGGGAGACAAATAGCGCAGCTCGCAATTTCGTGCGACGACCAGCCTGTCGTGATTTCGGAGCACCTCGCGGCGCTCGTCATCTGTCCCACGCTTCAAATCGCGTTCGCGGGTCGCCGCGCGGCCGGACCATGTTTCTCCGCGGGATCTGAGCCGCCGGCGTCGAGATGTTGTCCGTCCTGCGGAGCGCTCGGCGCCCGCCGCGCGGAATCCTCGAGCGATCCGGCAGGTCCTGGCCCAACCTGTCGTCGCTCGTACGCTGTAAATCAGGTGAGCGGCGACTAACACTACCTGACCGCTGTCTTGCTGTTTTGTTTTTTTGGCGTGCGCGTGGATCATTTGATCTTCGGTTGTCTTTTTCTTTCAGAAAACGTAGTCGTCACCATCGCCGACGTGTCGAAGGTGGTGAGGCCGGCGAGCAATCCGGAGTACGTTCCAAGGAAATACTGTAAGTGTCGCGGGCCAGCTTAAAAGCTCACCCGGATAGCACGAAGGTGAACGTGGGTTTGCAGAGAATTCACTTTGAGAAGTACCCGCGGAGCTATAAGGCTGAAAATCTGAAGGATTCTCGAAGAAACGGCCACAATCAGTTGGCCTTGTCTCTTGGAAGTTCATCGCGGCGCATGTAACTTTCCCAATCATTCTTATCCCCGGTAGCACAGTGCGTTGGCTAAACATTGGCTAAACCGAGGGGTAAACCGCTGAGGGCATTGTGGTGTTCAGGTTTGCGGCATTACTGGGCATTACTGAGCATTTCTTGGGTATTAGTTTGGGTATTATAAAGATAAAATTAGATAAAACAAGATAAATAGGATTAAATAGCATAAGATAAAGTAATGCCCACTGGATATTAGTGGGCAGTGGTGTACGTGATTTTGGTCAGCGGTTTATCCCTCGGGCTAAACATTGACCTAATGTCGGTTATATTAGAAATGCATTGGCCGATATTGTCCAGCGTAAAGCTGGCCACGGAATAAATGCATATATTGCACAAGAATCATTACATGAATTGGAAGTGCGCTATCCAATATTTGACAATGTATAAGAATATTGGCCTAAAATTGATACAATACTAGACCAATATTGCTGAACGTCTTGGCTAAATAAGAGAAGGGCGTCCATCTTACAATATTGGACCAATATTGGGAATACTAGATTTACATTATTTCCCAATATTGCGTCAGTATACTGTGCTACTGGGGTATCGCATTCTTCCACGAATTCCTGAAGAATTATTACAATTCAGGAAGGGAGAGAATATGAAGGACACTTTCCGAGTTCACCGTGCTATCTGGACACGTGGTTACAGCTGGTGGATCGTTGAGAGTTTCACGCGCTGATGCTTTGCACTTTTTCCGCTTTTTTCAACAGTGTTGAACACGCACTCTCAGGAGACGCTGAGAAACCTGAAATGGATGCTGCAGAAGGACGTCTTGCGGCAGGACATGTTCCTGACGGGCGGACCGGGTGTGCGGAGGCGCGATCTCGCGCTCGCCTACCTGGAGCTGACGGGGCGGGAGCTGGAGTTCATCGCGCTCACCCGCGACACGACGGAGGCGGACCTGAAGCAGCGGCGGGAGATCAAGAGCGGCACCGCGTACTATCACGATCAGAGCGCGGTGAGGGCCGCGACCAACGGCCGGGTCCTCCTGATCGAGGGCGTGGAGAAAGCGGAGCGGAACGTGCTGCCCGTGTTGAACAATCTGTTGGAGAACCGCGAGATGCACCTGGAGGACGGTAGATTTCTCGTTCCCGCGTCCCGCTACGACAAATTGCTCAAGGTACATGTCTATGTCTATGTCTAATTTGAAGAAAAAAATCAAGATATACATGATTCTACTTAGTAAGCTAACTAGTAGTAAGAAAAATTAGTCCTAAGTAGTGGCTAACGATGGACAATACTTTGAATGACATGCTCTTTACTAATTGTTTTAAGTAAAGCTTTCATTGATTGGAAAAAACAGCGAGAACTTATTCAAGTCCCTAATATAAATACGCCGAGAGAATTTTCTCTTAAAATTTATTCTGAAAAATCATGTGATCGTGGAACAACGTGACATTTTCAAGAACTTTATGAGAGTTTTTTTGAAACTTTACCATACATTTTACTAGTAGAGATTTCCAAAAACTCTGATAGAATTTTTCGAAATGCCATGTCGATCACAGGATTTTCAGGGTAAATTTTAAAAGAAAATTCTCTCCGTGTATGTATAATATTATAACACATGTGCCCAACAGTTACATTGTTAAGTAGGAAATTAGAACATTGATGTTAACAACTGTTCGTTGGTGTATTTACTGATTGCGAGTATGAAAAATATACTAACAACATCCGCGTCTTGTACTCTTTGCGATGTTCCGCAAATATTCCCGGAATGCTAACACGTGCCGTCCAAGCTGCCTCTAATTATTTGTGAATAACGCGCGGAACGTTCATCCACAGATGCACACCCAGGCCGAGTTGGACAAGTGGCGTCTCGTGCGAGTCAGCGAAGATTTCATCGTGATAGCGCTGGGCCTGCCGTCACCGCGGTATCCTGGTCATCCGTTAGATCCCCCGCTCAGATCTAGGTTCCAGGCCCGTCACATTCCGCCGCCGACGTTCGAGGTAAGTGTATAACCCAGGTGGTGCGCGTGACCTTCGAGAGATTAATGCGACTCACATTGACAGGGAACAGTACGACCATAGTATAACTGGTAGGTCCACCCTCTATCGGCCCCTTTGATCTTTGCGGTCCCGATCACGTGGTGTTCCGCCATTATTTTAGGCAGCGATCCAGCGGCGTATGCGTTTCTCTCACTGGTCTGCCCAGAACAATGCCGGATGCGCAGAATGGATCGACGCAAAACGAAACAAATGACGGAGTGGACCTACTAGCGATACTATGGTACGACCGGATAGACTCCGCGTTCCGCAGGAAGCGGAACGTTACGCGGAGCGTACCGGTGTCGCCTTCCCGGCGGACGTATCGCGCGGGGCCGAAGCGAACGCTTAGAAAAGTCATTAAAGCAAGTTTCTGATTGCACAGCGATGCGGCCTCGTCAGGAAGTTGGTCGCGGCAATTCGCGATCGTACGTACTCGTACCGGCCCGATTATTAAAACTGTCTGCCCGACGATTAAGGGACACGAGCCTGATTTATGTCTCAATTACGCTCTCTTTCTCCCGCGGTGGTTCGACCGAGTCGGACGTAACGAACGAAAGTACGAGGAGGTAACAATTTGGATAATTCAGCGGGGACTTTTGCGGGAATGTCGTACTCCGTCCGCTACGCGCGCGCGTCTCGAAGGAGACGGTACAACTCGCGAAACTTTTGCCTGATTTATGGGGCCGGGCGGGGACGGAGGGTGGCGTACCATTAGGCATGGGGGTGCGGAGGTCGCACGAACCCCTCCGCGGCGGCATCCGCGTCCCATCCCTTCCTTCCGGTGCTTCTCTCGCTCGCGCGTATAAACGCGCGGCTCGTGGCTGCGCCACGGCCACAAGCATCGCGCGGCTCGGATCGCGTGTCCCAGCCCCCAGGCAGTCGAAACTCTACCTGTCCTCCCGCGTACGCCCGCAAGTCGATACGTTACGGATTCGATATACGTGTATTAAAAGGTGGCGAGGCGACCGTCTCGGTTCTCCAAGTCGCGGCGCAGCGCGCTGGAGAACGTCTGTCGCGATACGTGTCGTCACGAATCTAATTAGATTACACCTGCCCGCTCGAGATTTTTCCACGGGACGGCATCATCCGCGGGGCGCGCACCCTCGTTTTATTTATCGCTGGAGGATATCGGAGAGATGTCAGCTGCCGAGCGTTGATTTATCGCTCACCGTCGCCGATTTATGTTCCGAAAAAGCGCGCCGGACGAACGCTGCAGTAACTACACGTAAAATTTTTCTCTCATATTATGCAGTTGCCTGTCGCGCGCAGTGTCCAGGTACGTTATTGAATCCCGAGGCGAGATTCACCGGGCGGTAGAAAGCGCCAGGCTTCTTTTTTTATCGGACCTTGAAACGTTATTTGCCGCGCGAGGTAATTATTAATATCCTATCCGCGCATCGTGCCGCGTTATGCCGGCTATCTGGGCGTCGTCGGAGAGGCCTCTGTTCGTCCGAACCGTCTGGGTGGACGGTATGCGTCACGCCGTCCTGTCGCCCGACGACCCCGTCGTGAACCCGCGGCTGCGTCGGCATCCGCGGACGCCCGTGGAGAAGAGCTTCCCCGCGCAGCATCGGCAGCCCGAGAGCAGGCTGGACCGCCTGAGCAACTGCCTCATGAATCTGCACGTCGTGGTGGAGAAGAATTTCCCGGAGTGCAAGATCCCGCCGAGGCTCGCGCGCCGACAATCCGCTCCGCCCTGCGCGAGGATGCGCGGCGAGAAGACCGGCGGCCTCCTGGAGATTTACGTGGACGACAAGCTGGACGAGGACCGCCGCGCGGCTTATCAGACGTTGTCGGAGAACGAAGAGACGGCGTTCCCGACGAGCGAGAGCTTCAGCGGCGTCGCACAGTGCCTGCAGCGGGACGCGTTCTCCGCAGTGACGGAATGCAAGCAGGCCGACAGATCGCCGGACGCGCATTGGAACCCGTTGTCCGAGAGGGTGTTGCAGTGGCTGGACCTGTCCGGGCGAGCGCGGGACTACGAGCTCGAGGCGAAGCCGGAGGAGGAGAATCCGCGGGCCCGAGAGGACCGGCGGTGGAGGCGGCGGCATCTCTCGCAGACGCGCGAGGGTTCGTTGTTGACGGACAGGGAGCACGTGGTCGTGCAGAATTACAGGCTGCAGAGGAACTTGAAGCTGGAGTGCGAGACCAAGTTGGCGCGGAAGCGCTCCTCCAGGACGAGGGACAGGACGGAGGAGGACGAAGGGAGGAGGGAGGAGAGCTCGAAGGCGCGAGCCGCGGTGGAGGAGGACGTGAGGAGCGAGGATGAATCGCGGGACGACCGGTCGACCGTGTGGTCCCCGCCCGGCCGCCTGCAGCTGCACATCGTCATGCCGAGCTTCAATTCCGACGAGAAACGGACGTCCTCGCTGGAATCCCTGGCTTGCGATTGAACGATAGACCGGTCAGACGCGCGTCCCCATTTTCGTCCCCGGCTGCACCTGACATTCCTTCTCGCCGTCGCGCCGTGAGTTTTTAATCGTCGGCGCGGGTCGGAGGAGAAACGGAATAGTTCGTAATCAATGATACTCGATAAACAGTTTACACGCACATTTTCTCAAGTGACAGTGCGGTGCAGTTGTCGTTGCTGAAGACCTCGTGCACTTTTTTTTATGACGTTTGTCGAAACGTGAAACGTGCCGCAGAAATGTTAAGGTACCTATTAAAAATTATTAATCTCTATAAATAAGTTTGATCAAATGGTTATTGTACATCCGTGACTTTTAAGTGCACGATGGAGTATCGGCTATTCCAAATTTTCAGTTCATCTTTAATGCAGGCTTACAAAGAAAGGCTGCGCAAAGAAAACTGTTAGATTCTACTGCTGATTGTTTTTTTAAATTATTTAAAGGTTTAACAAGCCGACATAACATTTCCGCTGGATAATACCCTTTCGGTTTAACTGCACTTTACGATGCATCTCGGCATTCTGCGATAGATAGCATTTACGTTGAGAGTTAATCCGGAGCCATGTCGCAAAGCCGTTATTGTCCGCCGAGAGAATTGGAGTCGACGGAGACATCGCCTTGTTTTACGTCGGTCGGAAACTGAATAAAACTCAGTTAATAATGAACTCATGAAAAAGATCATTTAAAACTTGAAAATAATTACACGGCACGGAGTATTTAAATTCTCGTGAAACGAATATTATCCGTCACGAAGCGTAGGGTACGTATTACTTGTCCGTAGAAATTGCTGTCACGCGCAGAAACGAGCTCAGAGACACATATGTCAGGGAATTCTCAGATAATTTATAGACGCATTTAGACGAAGGCGCTGTAACGAAAACTGATAATTTACAACTTTTATCACGGTATTAAAGTATTACGTTACTATTTTTTTTTTCACTGAGATTAAAGCTTCGTTTGAAAATCTGCAAAAATATTCTTAAGAGTTCTAAAAAATGTTGAGACTAGAGTATTCGCGTCATTAATGTAAAAGTACGGTTACGCTCTTATGATTTCACTTGTTTTTAATCGCAAGAAGGATGCGATCCTATCTCTTTGCTCTCAATTTTTGAAGGAACCTAAAATAGAGAAATAGAAGAATCTAAAAAATGTTTAGACTAGAGTATTCGCGTCATTAATGTAAAAGTACAGCTGCGTTCTCATAATTTCACTTGTTTTTAATCGCAAGAAGGATGCGATCCTGTCCGTTTGTTCTCAATTTTTGAAGGAAGTTGAAATAGAGAAGTAGAAGAATTGTAAATTTTTTAAATTCAATCCGAAGATTTACGTCTTTTACGACTTTATTGTATTTGATTATACTGGTCGTTATATTAAGATATGATTATACGCGTAACATTACTCGGATTAGATCGGGGTTAGCCTTGCGTTTTATATGGATTACATGTAATGTTGCTCGTGACTCGGTTGACTTATGTGCCACCTTCGCGAAAACTGCTGGCAGTCGCTACAATGGAGGACGAAAATAATAGAGCGGCGTGTTTAGGAATCGCACAAGACAGCTCTATAATGTGCCCGGCGTCTATTTTCAGGGTAATAAAACTTGGTAGAGAAATAGGGGTGCGCGGACATCTATTTTCTACATACACGGCATCATCGTTTAATAATCAATCATCGCGAAAGTCGGTGTATTAAAATAGAAGTTTGACTTTACGGCTGATGGATGTCCTTCGGAAAAAAATGTTGCCGTAATTTAAGTCTGCCGTGACCCACTCGCGGTTATTATTACGAGTGAATACTCGTGCTTGCACAACAATTACCTATGATAACTGTTAAGTCAGCCGCATTTCCTAGGCATACGTTGAAGTTGTGTTATACATTTCTCAAGTCTAAAGCCGCAAAGGTATCTCGTTGATGCATTCACAGTCCTTTATCCGATATAAATACGATGTTCTCGATCCCGGAGTGCATTGAACTGTGGAAATTGCTGGAAATGGGGAATCGCGTGTTTGCGAAATAGCCAGTTAACGTCCTGATAGCCCGGTGACACATCTGCGAAAGGAGACCGCGAACTTTCCCAAGCTCGGGGGCGTCACGTTGAGCTCGCATTTTAATCGCGATTTAATCAACGGGGAACCACGGCGGTCGATTATTTATCAATTACCCGCCACGAAATCGAGAGCGCGATGCTCCTCGACTAACGGCGAGGTAACCGGGACGCGACGGCGAGGCTGCGACGTGCGTAACACCCGAACGTGGTGTCGGGGTAGGAGCTACCGAACGCTTCGGCGAAATTGATTCTCCGTTTCTTCTATTTTCGGCGGCGACGAGTGCCGGGGACGAGTCACGAAAACCACATTTCCGCCAACGCCGCAATTACGGCCGATCGAGGGCTCGAGATTATAACCCGGGCCGATTGAAAGTTTTCGATGGAAATTCCGCGAGGGTGGGCGGATATCTCTCGCGTGGGCTTCCGTGCCGAGTGGTAGTTATTCACTCGGTGCTCGGGCGGGCAACGCTGGAAAGCTCTCGGTGTTAATCACTCTCTCGGAAGGAGGACCGTTTCGTACCCGAATCGCGGTATATAACATTCCTCACGTGCGCGGTTCCTCTCTCCATCCCCCCGTTCCCTCCCACTGATACCAGGCCACGCTGACGAAGGGGAAGTAATGGGAAGACAGCTCCGCGCCGAATTCGAGTAGTTGAACGCACCGCGGATAGACCGTTGAGTAACGTTAAACATATTATCTGCAACAGCCCCTCAAACTTGCCGAGTTGCGAACTCTCGTCGGCCGAGTGGCTGCCGCGATGCTCGAGCGCCAAGTGTATCAGGCTTGTTATCAGTTTTCCGCGCGCTTAATGATATTAAGTTGTTCGCGCTCGCTTAATGACCGAAAACTCGATTGCTTCTGCTGACTGGTTGTCACGCGCAGTGGTATCGTTGCATTCGCTCGACTGTATCCCCGTATCTTCGTTCTGTGAAGGCCCGTGTCCACGACGACCAAGACCACTTGGTCCAAGTTCTAGTTTCTCGAAACTATTGTAGTATGGTGGACACGGGCCTTGAGCAAACCGAGAGCTACAGAGAGTGTGCGTCAGACACTTAATTTTATTTTTAGTACCTTTTGGGGGATAAGATACCATGCATTAAGATTTACTTTTTAAGGAACAATTTGAGGTCCTGAGAAACTTAACGCCGAACGTCGACGCTGGGAAATTGTCGCAATTGTTATCGTGCGCTCACGCATTAGTTACTCAGGAGGCTGTCACCATAGGCCTGCCAGACTTTCCTTTGGACAATTTGTCGTCGGCCGCTCTAATTATGGTAAACCTTCTAGCTCGACGCTGCCGGCGCCTCGTCGTCATTTTTACACTAATTTCCCGTGTTTGTGCTCAGGACAAAAGTCCCGACTTGCCGGTGTACGACGTCTTCTATAGGTTTTATCCGTACAAACTATTTTTGGGTAAAGAGGGTCAGAGCGCCGTCGAGGATATCCTTAGAACATTTAGCGTATTGAACGATTCCAAAGTGGAGCGCTCAGTTACTAGCGAAGTAGACGCTATCAAGAAGGCTGACGATTTCTTGGAGATCGGCATAAAACGCGAAAATACGAAGACAAGTTTTCACGTAAGCTATCAATAATCATTCGCTTGCATCATTCCTGTTGATTACAGCTGCCAGTTGTACGTATACGGATCTATTTTGCGAATAGGTTCCCTGCGGCACGGGCCAATTATCTGGCGCTGCGAACAACGATTGTTATATAGAAACTAATTATCAGAATAATTTGTTGGCGAGCATGCTGGAATCCCATTTGACGTCCGATTTCTGTCTGATCGGGCCGAAAGGCTGCGGCAAGTCCACCACCGTCCGACGGCTCGCCGATTTACTAGGGTACCAGGTGGAGCCGATAGTGCTTTATCAGGCAAGTCTCGAGTACTTTTCGCGAGAGTGGCGTTACGCTGGCTCCCGATTTGCGTTCACCTTCGCAAGGGGCGCGCGAAACGATCTCAGCTTTAGCGCGTGTTCGCGACAGTTCGTTCCTGAAATGACACGGTTGAAATATTTTCTTAGGATATGACTTCCAGGGACCTGATACAACAACGGACCACGTCGCTTAACGGCGACACGGTCTGGAGAGATTCGCCGCTGGTCGACGCGGCCCTGCACGGCAAACTGGCCGTGCTGGACGGCATCAACAGGATTCATTCTAGTACCTTAGCCATACTGCACAGGTAATCGCGTTCGCGATACTTGACACGCCGACCTCGAGCGATGGTAACGCGACCGCGTCTGCCCGTAGATTCGTTCACGATCGGGAGCTCCAGTTGCACGATGGTAAGCGGCTCGTGCGAGCCGACCGTTACGACGAGATAAAGAGAGAGTATAACAGATCCGACGAGGAGATGCGCGACCGCGGCGTCCTGCGAATCCATCCCGCCTTCAGGCTAGTAGCCCTGGCCGAACCGCCGGTCGTCAACAGCTCGTCCGGTCAGTGGTTGAATTCCGAGCTGCTCAGCTTGTTCCTCTTCCACGAGATGAGGCCGCTCGACAAGCGCGAGGAGATCCACGTCATTCGATCGAAGGTGATCGTAGTGGAGCACGCTACGCCGCGTCTTCAATCGTAGGTAGATTTTCATCAAGCACTTTGTTTGCAGTTCGGCGAACCTAGCCAAGCGTTGCTAAGTATCGTAGAGTTAGCGCATGTCTTACGTTCGTCCAACGATCCGACCCTGCTGTCCCTCGTCGGATCGCTCAGCACCCGGCAGCTCCTGCGAATCGCGGAGCGAATGCACCGATTTCGGTGCGACGACGCACACGACGCGGTGCAACGCGCGTGTCTGGCGCGCTTCTTGCCGGCGATCGCGAAAGAGGCCCTCGCGGACTCCTGCCGTCGCCTTGGCATCGTCCCGTCAAACACGGCGTCAGATTCGGCGATCGAGTGCTCGGTTACGGAGGACTCGGTGAAGATCGGCGACACCGTCGTAGATCGGTATCGCACCGCGGCGCTCAGTAAAGTACCCGACATTTTGTTCTATGACGTGCCGGAACACGTCGCGCTCTTGGAGCGGCTGCTGCAGGACTACAGTCTGGGGCAGAATCTCCTGCTGGTCGGCAATCAGGGCGTCGGCAAGAACAAGGTCGTGGACCGGCTGCTGCAGTTGCTCAACAGGCCGCGCGAGTACATTCAGCTGCACCGCGACACGACCGTGCAAACTCTGACCCTGCAGCCGATGGTCAGGGACGGTAAAGTCGTTTACGAGGACTCGCCGCTCGTGCAGGCCGTTAAACTGGGCCACGTCCTCGTCGTCGACGAGGCGGACAAAGCGCCCACGCATGTGACGTGTATATTGAAAGTACGTACTCGACGATATAGCGGAGCTATTATGTATGGCGCGCGAACACTTTGTCGGTCGTGAATCGCGAGACGATCCTGTCATTTTCAGACCCTCGTGGAATCGGGCGAAATGATTCTGTCGGACGGTCGACGAATTGTTTCCCGTGTCAGCGGCAACGCCCGCAACGCGAACACCATATCGATGCACCCGGACTTCAGGATGATCGTGCTAGCGAACAGGCCGGGCTTCCCGTTTCTGGGCAATGACTTTTTCGGCGCTCTGGGGGACCTGTTCAGCACGCATTCCGTCGACAATCCGAGCATTCGAAGCGAGATTCAGCTCCTGAAGCAGTACGGTCCGCACGTAGACGAGCGGACGATACACAAATTGGTGAAAGCCTTCGGCGAGCTGAGAAGTATGGCCGATCAAGGTCTAGTCTCGTATCCCTACTCGACCCGAGAAGTGGTTAACATAGTCAAGCATCTAGAGGTGAGCTAACGCGAGCACTTTTCAGGACGACAGAGACGACGTAATTGACGACGCACTTTTTAATAATGTTGTAGAAATTTCCGAACGAACCGTTGGCCACCGTAGTGCGCAACGTCTTCGATTTTGATCGATACAGCCAGGAAATACTCGACACTCTGGTAAACGTGCTTCATAAGCACGGAATTCCCGTTGGAACGAGTCCAATCAATGTTGCCTTAGCTAAGGAGTAAGCTAAATCCTTACGTGCCCTTTAAGTATTTCGCAAAATAATTACCGATCGAGCAGACACACGAGTGTTTAGAAAAATATTACTAATTAGGACAATTTTGTATTTTACTAATTTTACAACGAACCTATTGTTAGACGTAGTTACACGTGATAAATGAAAATGCGAGGGAAATAAAGGTACGTGAAACCGACGTTCACACGCGTATCCGTACAATGTATCCCTTCCCCTTTTCCATTGCAGAATACCCTTGCCCGAGATGAAGATCTGTGGTAGTTGGAACGTTTTGAGCACGTTCCAAAATATACCCGTTCAGGAAAGGTACGTTAAGTTGAAACCGCCAACGTTTCCGGCGCAAAACGATCGAACTCTGGATCGAGTTGAAGCCAGATCGGCCTGGTTCACGGAACTTCAGAGTTACTGGACAATGCCCATTAGCGAAAACGGCACGGTGGCCGCTTTAGCGGTCGCGAATGGAAGTAAAGGGGATGGCACGGACGACAGAGTGCACGTTCTCACCTCGAATCCTTTGAGTATATTTAGCATGACGCCGGAGTCCGAGCAGGTTCGCGAGACGTCGCTGCAGGGCTTGATCAGCCCCGTCAGGGGCAATATGCCGTTTTATAGCATCGCGGTCGACAATCTCGGGGACGTTTTGGTTCACGAGGAAACTGTAAGTAGTGAGTCAGAGCGAACCCCTGCTCCCTCGTCATAGCGTTCATCGGATCTGATCGTTTTTAGAGCAATTCTGTACTTGTGGTAAACGTAAATGAGGGTTCGGTCCGACAAGTGCAGTCCTCGACCTATCTGGATGTCGCCAGCGACCGAATATCGAGCGCCTTCAGGAGCAGAAATTTTCAATGGAAGATGAAGGCGGATCTACTCCCGTCGCACAATCTGATTGTTTTGTACACGCAGGACCACGACAGACTCGAAGTTATCAATTTGCAAAGTATGTGCGCTTACTCGATGAGTTTGCCGTGCAACATCGAGTCGGTCTTACTCGCCTCCGACAGGAAATGGCTGATCCAGGACGCGTCCAAGGACAAGTACATTCTCGCGAAATCCTCGGATTCCGATCCGTGCCCGAACGTGTTGCGCGAGTTGGACGAGTCTAACAGCGCCGATCTGAAGACCGGCAGTATCCTGAGCTGCGGCACGAGCAGTCTGCACAAAGCGGAGTTGAGCAGTGCTCTTCAGCAGAAGATAGACTGCCCGAACAGGCTTCTAGTGACCGATAATACGTACGCCGGCATAGCGACGGGATTCCCCGATCTGGACAGTTCCAACGAGCTGCACTTCTGGCCGAGGAAAGAGAGAACGCGCAGCTTCATGACGCCCATCGTTACGCAGAACGGTCAGGTGATCAGAACGATTTCGCCTAATCAGGTGCCCGACGAGGTTTACCCGAAGGGCACGAAGCACACGGGAATTTCCGGTTACTTGGAGATAGTCGACACGGTAAACCACAAGCTGCGATACATTCCAATCCCGGAGTAAGTACAAAGACGAGGATTGTGTTATGAAAAACGTGAGCTGTGCTCTCTCTCTAAATGTTAATCAGTGGACTATCACTGAAAACAGTGAATAACTCGCTGACTCGCTGTTATAAGTATAGCGTTGAATTATTCAGTGCTATACTTCTAACTGTTTTTCTTATTCGCGCTTTTAATGTCTCTGAGAGATAATATTGTTATGCCGTGCGTGCCTTCGCTATTATTGCGCGCATTTCTCTCCGATAGAACAACTGAGAAAAATCATTAAACCCCTTTTACGTAGACCGGTTAACGTCTCGCCACTGACCCAGTGGCTGTATGCGAAGGACCTTCCGCTTTATGCGTCACTTACGTCGAACGGAGGTCTCGTCACAATAGACGCCGGTGGCTGCGTCCGTTTATGGGAGACATCAATTACGGATATAGAAAAGTCGTTAGGAGCGTGGCGCAAGATGATAGGCGCCGGCGAGGAGAAGATGCAGATCACCAGGGAGAGGTATTCGGGGCAGGACGTCAGCGGGCCGAAACACGGAAAGGTTGATAAGAATAACGAGCCACACGTAGGCGGTAATACCTGGGCCGGAGGAACCGGAGGTACGGGCATATTCAGGCGGGATAACGAACGGGATAAAATCTAGGGGGAAATTACACGTTGTACGCGCTCGAGTATTATCACCCGCGTCAATCATCGACAACTGTTACAGTAGGACACGCGCGAAATTATATTTTAGGGAGAGACACGGCGGGTTTGGGCGGAAAGGGAGGTCCGTACCGGCTGGACGCCGGGCACACGGTGCACCAACTCAGTGACGAGGAGAAGAACGCGGTGCCGGAACACGTGAAGAAAGCCGCGCGCGAGATGGGCGTTCGCGCGTTCAAGCAGCGGCTCAGGGACATAAAAATGAGCGAGTACGACCACAAGCTGTACTCTCAGTTCAGCGACGCGGTTCAGAATCAGGTGCAGGCCTTGCGGGTCATATTAGGTGAGCGTCCTAAGTCACTCGAATTGAGGCTTTTATATGGAAGTCAGAGATGCCTTATCGCGTATCGCGTGCTCGCATGCCATTTATAGGCACGCTGCAGGCAAAGAGCAAGGAACGGCAGTGGTGCAGGCATCAGACCTCGGGCGAGCTGGACGATACGAAGTTAATCGAGGGCTTAACGGGCGAGAAGACGATTTACCGGCGCCGGGCGGAGAAGGAGCCGGAGATCGGCGCTCCGCAATTGAAGCCGAAGCGATTGAAACTCGTCGCGGACGTGTCCGGCAGCATGTACAGGTTCAACGGCTACGACGGCCGGCTGGATCGCCAGTTGGAGGCCTGTGTCATGGTAATGGAGGCTTTCAGCGGCCACGAGGGTAAATTTCAATACGACATCGTCGGCCACTCCGGCGACGATTACCGTATTGTCTTTGTCGATCGCACGCAACCGCCGGCGGACAATAAGCGAAGACTGGAGGTGATTAAGGCGAGTAGATCCGTCACGTTTCCGTTTCCCTCGCCGAGCATAAGCCACGCGATTTAATTAACGAGTGATTATTTGTCTTCGCAGACGATGCACGCCCACTCGCAATTTTGCATGTCCGGCGATAATACATTGGAGGCGACGCAGCATGCAATCGCCAGCCTGGCGAAAGAGGACTCCGACGAATCCATCGTGGTTGTGCTCTCGGATGCGAATCTAGAGCGTTACGGGATTTCCCCGCAACGCTTCGCAAAATTACTGACGTCCAACGCGGACGTGAACGCCTACGCTATTTTCATTGGATCGTTGGGTGATCAAGCGACCAGGTAGTCTTTCACGACAGTAGAGATTTACTTGCTGCTCGTTTTTCTTTATCGATACTAAGTTAAAATAAATTGCATTATTTTCAGGCTGACGAAGAAGATGCCCTCTGGCCGCGCGTTCGTGTGCATGGATCTTAAGAATATACCACGAATTCTGCAGCAGATCTTTGCTGCTTCGGTTTTAAGTACAACGCGGTCGACTTAACGTGAATGACGATTAGCTGAATCTTGCGTAGGAAAAATACGGCCGACAGCGTCTTTTTTGCTTTATAGTTGTTAACTATTTGATACAATTTCCGGGAATACATGCTTTTATATAACACATTCACGTTTATAAAATTATTGTATATTCCTGTAAATAAAACTTTGTAGACGTCTTTTAAGAACGAGCACACCGCTTTAGCGTGGAATCGGGGGGTCGTCAGGAAGGAACACGCACGTAGTATTCGCACTTGTCTCCTCGTGTCGCGTTACCGAGGGTCTTCCCGGTCCTCGAGGGTGCTCGGGGGCAAACATCAATTATCTTGATTATATCAAAGCAACGTATTATCGCGAGATCTCGCGAAGAAGTCAACGGTGACCTCTCACTCAGGGTAAACGCCCGGATTTGTCCGCGCGCCCACGCGCGTTCGGGAGAGAAGACACGTCAGCCGGCGGCGCGAGGGAGGCAGCGTGGACCAGCGGCGGCGGTCGCCGACGGAGGGGAAGCTTCATCCCCCGGAGAGGACGACGCGGCCGAGGACGACCGAGGTCGCGCGGAGAGGATCGAAGCGGACCGCGCGCCCGCGCGATCCGTTGGACTGGCGATGGTGTGGGGCGGCCGATTGCCAGTCGCACGCCGGTCGTTGAATGGAGCGGGTGTGGAGACGCGTACAGGGTGCCGGGCGTCGCGGTGCCGCGGCCCGTTGCGGCTGCCCCGTGCAGCCGTGCCAGTTGCACGTGGACCAACGCGCGAGGCGCGGCGGCGGCGGCCGTAAGTCCCGCGGCAGCTCCGGCGGCGCGCCCCAGACTATCGTCTGCGGCTGCCAGGTGCAGCCGTGCCCGGTGCATCCGGTGTTAATCAGGGTCCGTCGTACGCGACCGGCTAACGCCGCCGCCGCCGCCGCCGCCGCCGCCGCCTCCGCCGTCGGCTGCGACTGTCCGCCTGAATCGCAGCCCTGTCCGCACGCACAGCGAGGATCGGCCGTGCGGAGGGTCAGAAGGTAAATTAACGCGGCGGTGTAACAGCGCCCGCGTCTATTCCACCCTGTGCCGCGAGAGCCAGCTGGCTGTATCGCCCGTTGGGGTAGGTTGTAGATTGGGGTAGGTTCGTGATGTTGCTACTCCAGTTATTGCCCGGTTATCGCGACGCACAGAGCGGGAGAGACGCTGCGCTCGTTCGGTCGATGGCACTTGTTGACCAATGACCTTCCGGCGATAGACGATCGAGAAACCGCCACTCGTTCGTACCCGCGCATCGATATCACGTCATTGTGTCGCGATCAATTTCTCCGAAAGATCCCCCCCCGTCGGCGATGATTCCCTTCCAAATTTTCGTCCCCTCGTACGCCTCGTACGATCGATAAGAGTCGAAATAACGAGCAACAGTTACATGCACAGAGGATGCTCCAGTTTTTACGTATCCACGTCGCCCTTTATCTCTGGGGTCTTTAATTCGTACGATTCTCAACTCGGGGGAAACGTTTGTCGACGGTAATTTCTGGCGCTATCGTGATTTGTCGGCGACAGGCGACGGTCGATTGCATAAAGCGTGACGCTTCGCACTCCGAAAGATCGCGGCGAAAGGGGTGGAAGGCATGGTGGAGGTCAGAAGGCAACGTGCCGCTGGCCACTTGCGCCGATCGCGGGCAAGTTTTAGGCGAACGCAAGTGGTTTAGTTAACCCGCGGACCTGCCGACCCTCGCTCGGCGGCCAAGCCCGCCCGGGGTTGACGCACCTGTTCATTTGTAGGGTAAACAAGCCGATTACCTTGTCTTGAATTAATCCGAGGGCATTTACGCGGGCGGCGGAACGCGAAGCGCAAACGTTTGAAAGCATTTTCGTGTCGGGGTAACGGTGGAAAATCTTCCGTCCGTCTGCAGCACCCGGGAATGCTAATTCGCGCGATCTTTTATCTACTCTCTGGAACGTTGAGATATTGATTTACGAAGCGCCACGTGCTACGGCAAATTGTATGCGGAGAATATTGTATATTTACTTGCACCCCCTTGCGCTCGCGAATGTGCCGCGAGTCGCTCGTAGTTTTTATTGAATTACACAGAGTATCTTTTGTTCACGCGCATTCACGGACGTGTTAACGCGGATTCATCGCGAATCAAGATATATGTTTCTCGCAGCTATGCCGCAATTTATTATACTCTAGGCGATATTAGCTCGTATAAATAAATACACGAGGAGGATTAAAACGTTTATGTTGCACGAACCTCTCGGTGAAAGGGACTCGTTACTAAAGAAACGCGGAAAGAAAATGGAGAAATGGCAGATTCAATCTCACCGCAGCGAGGAGCACGCTAAATTATGAAATCAATTTAGCAACGAGGTCAATTTAATTCGCGATGCAATTATCTGGGTGCTCCGATATTTAGCCGCGGTGCAGCCGCACGCGAAAGAGTCGAGATCGTAGCTTTCAGATTTTCACCCGAGTCTTCTTTCCATTCTCCTTGAGCGCGATCTTTTACGGTATCATTGCGCGATAATATACTAAATAAAGCTTCCAATAGTCGATAGGGACTCCCGCGGTCCAACTCGCGGCTGTCAAATATCTCGGGCGAAGTATGTCGCGACCGTTGCATAAAGATCGACGTTTTCTAGTAATATCTGGACACTTGCATAATTGCTCAAGCTGCAGTATTTAAGTCTCGAGAGGATCAATACGTTTCAAAAACAGCAACGCTCACGATTCGCGTGACTCGTAATAAAAAGAGTTACACGTCCCAGCATAATTTATAATCTAAGCAGTTAATTCAGAAGTGAGAAAAAAAAGTTGTGCTCTTTTACTTTAATAAATTGCCTAACTTGGCGCTCGGAGTTCGCCCCCTTGACTCATTAACACGTTTTTCTCATTGCAGATGCGAGTGCGCGGAGCGTTCCTGCCGGCACGCGGCCAGCACCCGTCGCCGAACGGCCGGCCAATCTTCCTCATCCCCTGTTTCCTCCACGCAGTTGCGTCTGCAACAATCGCAACAGCAGCAGCAGCAGCCGTGCGAGTGCGCCGACGAGATATCAAGCTGCGCCCACACAGGCGGCGGCGAGGCGCCGTGCGAGTGCGAGTGTGGCGAGGAGGCGAAGCCGTGCTCGCACACGGTGAAAACGCGCCGTCCGCGCCGCACGTGCACGGACTGCAGCTGCAGCGGCACGCAGCCCTGCGGCCACAAGCCGCAGCCCGAGGGCCGCATCAAGCGGGTCAAGTGCCGCGTGAGGCGCGCCGGTTGCGCGATGGCACGTTGCACCGCCGAGCTCGCGATGCTGCATTTGCACTGGGAGCTCGCCACCGAATGTGCGCCCTGCAGGCCGCGCGCGCTCACGCGACGGCTCTGCAGGAGGCAACAGAGCGACAACGAGCTCTACCGCAGCAACAGCTTCAAGTTCGAGCGCTTTGAGCGCACCAAGGACGAGTGCGTCACGCCGCTCCGCAAGCAGGTGAGTGGCCCGCGTTCGCTTTTGGTCTCGCTCGTAATCAGGAATGCGTGCCCGGGTATCGCCGCGGTGTCCTTAAACGGGATTTTCTTTCCTCCTCACCGAACGCGAAATGGCACGAGACGCGAAGCAACGCGGGAATATCCTTCGAGCCGCAATAACGTCACATGTGTTATTTATAACGTATGGTAGTTTAAAGAATCATATGAGAACCATTGGTTGAAAACGAATGATGTACGCACGAGTTTTATCTATACCTCATAATAATCCTATTAGTATATGCATTATATGCTGTTAGTATTAAATTGCATTAAATTGACACCTGTATAATTAATTGTAGAAATGCCCCTCTGCAGTTAATCTGCTGACATGAAATTACATTCTGTGACACGCATTTTACAAAATCGAATTTTTACAACGTAACCGCGGTATCTACACGAGAGGGAAAGGCAGGGCAAAGTATCACGAGAATTATTCACTGTTTCACTTGTTAAATTACTTCTTAAGTGGGGTAGATAACTGTAACAAGAAAGAAAGTAAAGATTCGACGATGACTCACGTGCACATTATAACTTCGGCTCACTTTATCGCGTGTATATCCTATTGCAATAGTATTGCAAAGCCCAACGACCTCCAGAGGACCGAAGAAAAGTCCTATACTCGACCTCATGTGCAGGTAAGTTCTTCAAACTTTCATGGCATAAGAGACTATATGTGGAGCAAAGAGATTGCTTATTTACGCTGAAATGATATCTTAATCGCAATAGTATAAATATTATAATCATAACTATCATTTGAATACTGTCTAGCGTAACGTTTAACGTTCCGCGAAGCACAGTCTTATTGTGTCAAAACATTCTCAATATTAACTGATAACTCGTAAAAGTGAAAACTCTATATATTAGAGATAAAAAGCAGTAGAGAGATTTGATTGGCCCCGTGCCAGAGCCTGACTTTAATTGCGTACGCGCAGCACGTGCTATTTCACGTCGGTTGAGATACTCTCGGGCACACATTCCTGAAAAGAATATTTAATTTGAAAATATGCGAAGCTATAACTCGCAGTGAATGTGACGCTTTCTTCCGGTATCCGGTTTTTATAGAGCGAGAGTCCTTTAATAAATTTCGCTGAGTGGAAGCGCAAATGGAAATTCCATGGCGATGATGAAATGGAAAGATTTAGTATAAGAGTTCGGGATTTATAATCCCTATTTTTTTACGCCGCCTAGCGAATATTTTACACCATTACCGCGCAATCAGGAGTCATTCGAGGTGGAAGAATTTAATAGACCACATCGAGAATTTGAACAACATTGAAAGGCGCGAGATAGGAAGTCTCGAGTTTATGATTTACGGTTTTGAAGGTTCATTTAAACCCGTTTATGCGGCCATTTACTCGATCATAGTTTGGAAACGTAAGATCTTACGTCTCTCCAAGGTAGCTGCCTCTAAATGCGATTGCTTTCAGCAACGAAAGCAAACTTAGTTTATCCGATAATCGTGGCTCTATCCGCTAAAGATTGCTGTACAGGGATATTCCTCGTAATTACATTTCTCATTAAAAGAGTGGACGTTTTAAACGAAATTAAAATCTCATACGTTCTGTACGAAAGTAGTGAAAGCCAACGATAGTCAGACACTCGTCTATTAACAATTATATTTCTTAGGTCCAGTTTCACAAACGTCGGTTAACTGTTAACCAGAGTTCAGTCGACTTCCTATCTTTCTCTATCTTGTTATCCAAGAAGAGACAGAGGGTCAATTAACCATGGGTTAGCGGTTAAACGACGTTTGTGAAACTGGCCCTTAGTATCACAAGCGATTGATATTTTTTTTACATCTAGCACAATTTAGTGTTATTTTAAATATATAAATAGTTATTGAATGAGTCGATCCCGTTTTTAATTGCACAGGATACACTATTCATAACAAAAATCTGCTTATTGCTTTCAATAAATGCATTAGCGCGTTTTGTAAATTAATTTCGCGTATATGCATAAATTGTTCTTAGCGCAAATATTTTCCAATATTTAATGTTTGAACAAAAGTTTGAAAGTACACCGAGCACGGTAGCTGTTATGTGTACATCGAATGTATATGGGTATTTGCTGCAAGATCTAACGATCGTGTATAATCGTTGCACAAAATGAACCGACAGGCTCTACGGAAATGTTTCCACGAAAATTATGCTTCAGTCGTTAATGGTGTACGTGCGGCACAATGTACATGAGAGAAACGAGAGGGGAACTTACAGTAAACTTGTCAATATCCGCAAGCTACTCTGAATATGCAGATGCCTCACTAGGTAGCACAATGCATATGTTAAACTTTATTTATATATAAACTTTATATAACACACTTCATTTATAAAGTAAATTAAAATTTTATACGATATACTTGATATCGAAATTCAATAAATTACTAGGATATATAAATTATAATCTCATGAACTTGTAGCCCGCAGTCAATCGAGTGATTATTAAGGATATTGTTAGATAGTAATAGATTTTATAAACTCGATCCCATTCTTGATTCGTTTTCATAAATTATGACAAATTTTCTATTTCTTTCTCATCATTGATAAAGCATTAACTTACTCGCGAGTTAAAACCTACGGTCTCGCCGTTATTCCGATAAAATTCCAATAAAATTGAGTTGTCGCGACGATTTATCCCAAGGTCGCTTTGCGGGTCCAAAAGAAGAAATGAAGGGGAGGTCGTAAGATGTGTAGGAAGAGGAAAAGAGAGGGAAGGTGGAAGGAAAAGTAGTAACGCGACGATGCCGAATTGATCGCGAATCAAAAGGGCTTCGTTCCATCGCAGCTTCTCGGTGGCTTCGTCGAGACGCTTTTTGAAAGAATTTCGTATACTGTACGACGTTTCCATTCATTCGTTCTATAATGCAAATTTAAATGACTTGACTGAGATTCGGGTCTGCGAATGAATATCGAGTTATCTGAAATATTTTTGTGATGTGAAATCAGTTAATTCCATTCCGTAGTTGAGCAATAAATCGTTTATCTAATCAATGACAAGTTGCCATATGGCCCTTTAAATATTTTATGTACATTTAATCAGTCAATAGATATTTTATATTTATGCATTTTTTCAACATTTTAAGTTTACATATTTTTGAAACAGATAGTAATCAACTATAAGTAGCTGAACGCTACCTTACTTGCATAAAAGTGTATTATAAAATTACGTGCTGCACAAGTGGATGATTGCTTTTGACACGATTGTAAATACTGCTTTATGCACGGATATAAGAGAGAATAATGCTTTCGTGGCTACTTCATAATACTGTAATACTGTGGAAATAAACCCTCTAGAACTAGAGGGTATAAGCTGTGCAAACTATACAAGTTTATGTATCTGCTCTCGAATAGTTGAGCTGGGGAATATGGCCTTCGCAGTATATGTGCGTATATATTATACATCTTATTTCGGCCAACCGACAGTAAATATACTGTATTTAGTACGCGGTTCTGAGCCATAAAATTAATCGAGAATATTTATACGAGATACGGAGAGATACAAGCTTATAACATCTGTTACGTAACTGGGGCGGAAAGTAGCCGACCGTCTCCGCGCGACAAATTAATTTCTGAGAGTTTAACGAACAGGTGAAAACTTCAAACTATAATTATACCAACAAAATCGTGGAATTATCAAGTTTTTCGCGCAACTAGCGGGACCAACTTCTATCAGATTGTCGGGAGTATTTTTTTAATAAAAAAAAAAAGATAAAAGGCTCACTCTTAGGAGTTGTACTTGATAATAGTTTTCGCCGGAAATGAGCAACTATCAGGCTCTTTGTGCAGTAAAACAAAATTGGAGAGCGATGTTGGAGCCTATCACGCGACTCTCGGAAGAGCGAAAGCAGAAACGAAATTTCATTAGCAATGTAAATACGGTGGCAGAATAGAATCCGGTATGAACGATCGCGCTTTCTTGGAGCTTTCGGGTAGCAGCCGCCTCGTTGCAGTTCCAGCTTATTTTGTTCTTATTCGGAAAGTTTCTAACGTTTACTATTAATTACTTCCCAGGAAAAGGAGGCAAATGTAATAAGTTCGTTTATATTTTTATGTCGTTTCTCTCTATCTCTCTCTCTCTCTCGCAGTCTCAACTTGCGGAAAGTTTCTCTTTCGTTTTTTATTTGCTCTTTTCCTCATTTGTAAATCTTGGGGGCACGAGCGTCTGGTTTTTCGAAGAAACATCCTGTATAATTTTCTTACTTATTTTCTGCGATTATAAAATCACTAGACGTCCGGAGGAAGTAATAAAAATACGCTAACTGAGATACTGACGTGATTAATGAATTTCTTTCACCCACAATCACGTTTTATCGAATAGAGAAATTGCCGCTATAATCATGACTGTCAATTACGGCTAAAACGTACGCATCGATCGTCTTCGTTCTGCAGCGTGTCACTGGAAATAAGAGCACCGCGTAAGCGCTGCGCGGCTTTGATGTATTGATTTCGCGACAAAGCTGAGTTCTATTCGATTTCTTGTGTTATCCAATAGGTAGCTCGAAATTTATCTAGATTTGATTCGTGATAAGTGATGGATGATACTTGTCGCGCAGAAATTTCTTGCGGTCTTTTCGGGCAGATTAAATTAATCAACGGATTTCTTTAGACCCGGCCTACAATGAGTTGTTAGTCGTTAGTCAGAAGTCAGCGCTATATGTCGACCCTTTTTCCTCCACCCAGAAAGTAAATAAGAGCAACACGTAAACGCCGCACGGTTATGATGTATGGATTTCGCGACAAAGCCGAGTTCTATTCGATCTCTTGCGCTATCCAATAACTCAGAATCTCCTGGATTCGATTTGTGATGAGTTATGGACGACACTAGTAGCACGATAATTTCTCACCGCGATCTTTTCGGAGTGGATAGATTCACCAGTGGCTTCTTTGATTAAATCAGTAATATTTGTTTCTTCGAATATGTGTACATACAGAATTTGAAGGGCACCTATTATGTACAATCCCTATGTCATATCGTTATTATATATTTTTTACATAAAGAAATATCTTTTTCTATCAGTTTTAAAATTGACATTTAGAAAATTATACGAGGGACAGAGTCTGAATCATAGTTGAAAGCGTGATTGGTTTAGACCGCGTTAGCTTTAATCCAGTCCAGATAAGAGACAACACGTGTGAAGACGGCGGGGTAAGTGGTGCTGCCGCAACCTCTCGCCCAGGATACCAATCCAACAAGTTTGCCACGGACGGTCAATGGGCCGCCAGAGTCACCCTGCAAGAAGCAAAATACCGTTTTCCAAATTTTGTGTCTCGATTATGTCCTGTGCATTTTGTTGTTCAAAGTTTTAAATATTGATTGTCCTTAAGAAATCGCGGTTTGGAAACTATAATGAACCACGAGAATTAAATAGATACCTGGTGCAATGGTGATTGAAATATTAAAAAAAAAACACTTACCTGGCAAGATCCTTTCGGAGTTGACGGGTCAAATGCGCAAACTTGTGTGGGGTGGACATTATATCCCAAACTATTGTACTTCCACGCACAGTATTCGCGATCGGCGATTAAAACGTTGACTCGTTGTAGCTTAGTAGTAGTTGGGTCACCTACCTGCAATTTTACAATAATATTTTTCATAGCACTCAGAGTGGCACTAATTATCTCTCATTCTCTTTTACACAGATAGGGTAAGGTGACCAAATTCGAATCAGATAACAAATGCGGCTTAACAGTTTGATGAGTCGCTAATAAGCAACATGAAAACACATCGATGCCTTTCATGATATTGACGTTATAGCATAAAGTTGTAAATATATAAAAGAGCCAAATTTACGTGAATTGCATTACTTTACAACGTCGCTTATTAGCGACTCATTAAATTGTTGATCCGCATTTGGTATCTGATCCGAATTTGGCCATTTTACCCTATTATAAGTAAATATTTAAATATATTTTAATAATTTCATACAAATGATCGCTATTTATTGCGTCCGCGTTCCCATATTAGAAGTTACAAATGGAAGGATATTTAAAATGGTAAAAAACTCACCTTGAGAGCGCCCCATCCCGACACAACAGCCACATCGTCGACGTTAACAACGAAGTCCTTTGGTGGCAGAGGGACGTGTCCGATGGTGGAAGATACTTTGAAGGGAGTTTTTACCTGAAAGATTATTTTGAATTTATAAGTTTTGATTAGAAAAGAATTAGGAGGGTCTTACTACCCTCGTGTGAAAAGAAATTTTAAACCGTACACACCCTCAGTAATGCAATGTCGTTAATCCAGGAATTAGCGCGATCATAGTCTTTGTGCATAATGATTTTTGCGACATCGTGCTTCGACTTCGGATCATTTCGGTCGATCGTTCCAGCAATAACTTTTATTTCATCGGCAGTTTTACTGCAACACGAAATGTATAACTGTTTAAATCTAAATATATAATGTATAGTGAGATGCATTTGTTACATTCGTAGAATAATATCTACACGAATGTAAGGTGGAAAGTTTATAGTAGAATGGTATTAGTTATACACATGAAATTATTATATTAAAAGTAATAATAATAAAATCACACCTGGAAACACAGTGAGATGCCGTGATGACATAGTCATCGTTCAGGATCGAGCCGCCACAGAAATGGTGGCCATTATCTTTCCGTTGAAGAGACACCTATAAAAATCATAACTTTCTAATATCTGTTCATTTCTTCGTGTAATATTGTCGTACTAGTTAATATCTATATTGTTAATTTTTCTAACGAAGATATCTTTTGGAAACATATGTACCTGATAGGGAAACTCTCCTACTTTGGCATCTTCTCCATTCACGATCCTGGGATCGAAAAGTGGAAGAACCCCAGCTGCAATGATAAGTCTATATTATTAAACGAAACGTAATGTTTCAAAGGTATAAATTATAATAAGAAATAAAAATGTTTGTGTTTCTGTCTTTCTCTCTCAAATTACGAATTTTTTTATCTTAGCGAATTGACAATTTTTCAGCAAAGTGTTATTAGTAAGAACAGTTTTGCGATTATTTGTAACACAATATTTACTGGTTGACAGATAAATATCAAAGAAAATCATTTATACGAATAATACGGTAAGCAAAGCAATTTCATCCCTGAAGTACTAGGAATCTACTATTAATTTGTATTCACTGGAATGAAAGACATATCGGTTAACCCAAAAGAGTTATTACTCACCATAGGAGAAAGTCAGAAGACTGAGAAGACACAAAATTCTCAACGCCATTTTCTAATCACTGACCGAAGCCTGAATTGAAATTGTCGATACTTCAAATTTATATGTACTTATTTATAATCGTATTACCCCACTTTTGTACAGTTTCCGATAAAAAAATTTTTTTTTAGAAAACACTAAAAAATAGATTAGATAAATTAAGTGAAAAAGTATGATATCGGAAGTGTCGAACTGATAAGGATTGAAACTATCCATTGTCTTGATAGATACGCAATGCTGTGCCAGTAGAATTTTATTCTCTCTAATTCATTGCCGTTTCACATATTTAATAATTGAATTTTACTTTTTGAAAATATTAAAATTTCAAATTTAATTACAGACATTTATTCATTTGTCACGTTGTATTAATTACTTTTTATTGTTTCAAGAAATTTTAATTTCGTATTTGAGATACTCTTGGTGATTCGTCAAGGTGAAACAAATTTTGACATATCTAATTTAAAATAGACATAATTTGTAACCAGTTATAATATAATGCCGTTTTAATAGTTATATTAAATATTATTTTTCTTGTTATGTGAAAGCAATAATTTTATTTTGCCGATTCCATTCGTACTTTTACTCTATGACCTAAGCTTACAATTTTTCCGTATCTCTTAATCTCGCTCGATGAATCATTTGCGTGGCTTTTTAATGCGATTAGATTATTTGAAAGAAATAGTACAGTTTCTTGATTGATAGCAGTATCGTTTCGTTTTTACACTAATTATTTATAGCATATCATTTACTGAAATCTGATAAATGATGTTTTTTAACTCGGTAGGCAAGATTATCTTATCTTTGCAGAAGTAATCTACTAATTAGAGTTATTGCACATTAATTTATCGTAAATAACTCATTTGATAGCTTACAATAAGATACGAAATTATAAGTTTAGTCTTATCCCTTTTTTAACTGTTTTTATTTTTGGAAAAAATAGTCTTTTCTTGTCAGATTCGCACAATATGTTATATATATAAATTACATATTGTAAGAATTCTACAATATTTTCACAACGTTCTTACAAATCAAAAAGTAAAGGGTTCACTAGAGAGAGGTGCATTTAATAATAATTTTTGTCGGTAGCGATCGAGTTTTTTATTCAGTAAAACAGAATTAGAGAACGATTAGGTACCTATTGTATACAGTCTCCATATCACATCGTTATCATACATTTTTTACATAAAAAATTTCTTTTTTTATCAGTTTTAAAATTGACATTTAGAAAATTATACGAAGGACAGAGTATGAAACATAGTTGAAAGCGTGATTGGTTTAGACCGCGTTAGCTTGAATCCAGTCCAGATAAGTGACAACACGTGTGAAGACGGTGGGGTAAGTGGTGCTGGCGCAACCTCTCGCCCAGGATACCAGTCCAACGAGTTTTCCACCAACAGTCAATGGACCACCAGAGTCACCCTAAAAAAAAGCAAGGTGCCATTTCAACTTTGATGCGTTGTGTATTTTCTGTGCCTTTTCTTCACTACAGTTCAAAATATTTCATCGATCTTAAGAGGTCGCGGTGTCGAGTTCATTGCTAGAAGGATATGAAATACATAGAAACGTGTAATAGTAGTTGAAATCTTAAAATACAACTTACCTGACAAGAACCTTTCTCTACAGATGGGTTGTACGCGCAAACTTGCGTAAGAAAGATGTCATATCCCGTAAGGGTGTATACATACTTGCAGTACTCTTGGTCAGCGATCAAAACGTTGACTCGTTGTAGTTTATCAGAGGCCGGTCCACCTGACTGTAATTTCGCAACAATATTTGTATTTGCTCTCAGAGTGATACTAATTATTTCTCATTTATTTTATACTACAGATGTTATAAACATTTAAATATACATATATGAATGATCACTATTTATCGCATCCGCGTTTCTACTTGGAATTTACAGACTGAATGATATTTAAAACGGCGAAAGACATACCCAGAGGGCGCCCCATCCTGACACGACAGCTACATCGTTGGGTTTAACAACGTGTTCCTTTGGTGGTAGAGGGACGTGTCCGATGGTGGTAGATACTTTGAAGGGAGTTCTCACCTGAAAGACATTTTACTTGAAATTTATAATTTTTTATGTAAAAAATTGAAGAGGTCGTAATTTCCTTGAAAAGCAAAGAGCTAATTTAAACCATATTCACCTTTAATAAAGCAATATCGTTAACCCAGGAATGACTTTCGTCATATTCTTTGTGTATAATGATTTTTGTGACAGTATGCCGCGACTTCGGATCAGTTAAGTCGATCGTTCCAGCAATAACTTGTATTTCATAGTACTTTTTACTGCAACATGAAATGTATAACTATTAAATGTAAATATATAATGTAGTGACATGCATTTCTTGCATTCTGAGAATAATATTTATACGAATGTAAGGTGGAAAGTTTATAGTAGAATAATATTAGTTATACACGCAACATTATTATATTAAAAGTAATAATAATAAAAAAATCACCCGGAAACACAGTGAGCTGCCGTGATGACATAGTTATCGTTCAGGATCGAGCCGCCACAGAAATGGAAGTCAGAATCTATTTGTTGAAGAGACACCTATAAAAATCATGACTTCCTAATATCTGTTCATTTCTTCGTGTAATATTGTCATACTAGTTAATATCTATATTGTTTATTTTTCTAACGAAGATATCTTTTGGAAACGTATGTACCTGATATGGAAACTCTCCTACTTTGGCATCTTCTCCATTCACGATCCTGGGATCGAAAAGTGGGAGAACCCCAGCTGCAATGATAAGTCTATATTATTAAACGGAACGTTTCAAAGGTATAAATTATAATGGGAAATAAAAATGTTAGTGCCTCTGTCTTTCTCTCTCAAATTGCGATTTTTTTATATTGGCGAATTGACAATTTTTCAGCATCATGTTATTGGTAAGAACAGTTTTGCGATTATTTGTAATAAAATATTTACTGGTTGACAGATAAATATCAAAGAAAATCATTTATACGAATAATACTAAACAGTAAAGCGATTTCATCCCTAAAGTACTAGGGATCTACTATTAATTTATTATTAATTTATTAATATTATTAATTCATTAATTTATTATTACTCACCATGGGAGAAAGCCAGAAGACTGAGAAGACACAAAATTCTGAACGCCATTGTCTGACCACTGACTGAAGCCTGAATTGAAATTGTCGATACAGCAACTTTATATGTACTTATTTCTAATCGTGTTGCCCCACTTTAGTGCAATGTTTCCAAGAAAAAAAATTTTTTAGAAAACAGATTGCAAAATAGATTAGATAGATTAATTGCAAAAAGTGTGATATTGTTTATGTGGAACTGGTACGGATTGAAACATTCCATGGTCATAACAGGTACACGCGATACTGTGCCACTAGAATTGTATTTTCTCAACTTTATTGCATTCTCGTATTTTATTGCGGTTTCACATATTTAATAATTTTACTTTACTTTCTGAAAGTATTAAAATTAATAAATTAATTAAAGACATTAATTCATTTGTCACGTCGTATTTATTACTTTTATCATTTCAAAAAAATGCCGGTTTTGTATCTGAGATACTTTTGGTAATTCATCAAGGTTAAACAAATTTTGACATATCTCATTTAGAATAGACATAATTTGTAATTAGTTGTAATATAATGCCGTTTTAATAGTTAATTTAAATATCATTTTCCTTATTGTTATGTGAAAGCAATAATTGAATTTTGTCGATTCCAGTTGTACTTCTGATGTATGACCTAAGCTTACAATTTTTCCGTATCTCTTATCTCGCTCGATAAATTATTTGCGTGGCTTTTTGATGCGATTAGATTATCTGAAAGAAATAGTAGTTTCTTGATTGATAGCAGCATTATTTCATTTTTAACCTACTTATTTGTTGCATATAATTTAATGAATCATGATAAATGATATCTTCTAACTCGGTGGACAACATTATTTAATTCTTATCTTTGCGGAAATAGTCTACTAATTAGAGATATTGCTCATTAACTTATCTGTAAATAACTTATTTGATAGCTTACAATAAGATACGAAATTATAAGTTTAGTCTTATCCCTTTGTAACTGTTTTTATTTTTGGTAAAAAATAGTCTTGTCAGATTCGCACAATATGTTATATTATATATAAATTAAATAGTGTAAGAATTCTACAATATTTTTTCACAACGTTCTTGCAAATCAAAAAGTAAAAGCTTCATTAGAGAATGGTGCATTTAATAATAATTTTTGTCGGTAGGGATCCAGTTTCTTTATGCAGTAAAACAAAATTAGAGAACGCTTGGAGTCGAGGAGCGATTGTGGTCAGACAACACTCGGAGGAACAAAAACAAAGATAAAACTTTGTGTGCAATGTAAATATAACGTTAGAATAAAATTCGGTATGAACGATCCGAGTTCGAACTTTCTTGATACTTTTGAGTAGCAGTCGCTTCATAGAAGTTACAACTTTTGTACTCATCTTGTTTTTATTGAAAACATTTTAAGATTTACTTTTGTTTTTTTAGGAAAAATAATAAATGTAATAAGTTCATCTGTATTTTATACTGTTTCTTTCTCTCGCACTCGCAATTTGCTTCTTCTTTCGTTTCTCTTTTTTTTGCTACATCCCCGTAAATCTTAACAGAGTGTACGCCTTATTTTTCGAAGAACGTCGCATATTATTTTTTTTCCACACTTATAAATTCGCCAGATGTTAAAAACGAAGTAAGAATAATACACATACTGAGCTACTGCCGACATGATTAACGAATATAATTTATTTACAATCATTAACTAAAAAGTGTTTTTAAAGTTGCCACTACCATGACTGTCAAGTACGTCGAAAACATGCGCATTGATCGTTTCCGTTTTGCTCAATATCCCTCGAAAAAAGAGCAACATGTAAGCGCTACACGGTTATGATGTATGGATTTCGCGACAAAGCCGAAAAGTTCTATTCGATCTTTTGCGCTGTGCAATAACTCAAAATCTCCTGGATTCAATTCGTGGTGAGTTATGGACAACACTAGTAGCACGATAATTTCTCACCGCGATCTTTTCGGAGCAGATAAAATCATCAGTAGCTTTCTTTGAATGAGTCAGTAATATTTATTTCTTCGAATAAGTGTAGAGAATTTGGAGGGTATCTATTATGTACAGTCCCTATGTCACATCGTTATCATACATTTTTTACATGAAGAAATATCTTTTACTACCACTTTTAAAATTGACATTTAAAAAATTATACGAAGGACAGAGTATGAATCATAGTTGAAAGCGTGATTGGTTTAGACCGCGTTAGCTTTAATCCAGTCCAGATAAGAGACAACACGTGTGAAGACGGTAGGGTAAGAGGTGTCGGCGCAACCTCTCGCCCAGGATACCAGTCCAACGAGTTTTCCACCAACTGTCAATGGACCACCAGAGTCACCCTGAAAAAAAAGCAAGGTGCCATTTCAACTTCGATGTGTTGTGTATCTTCTGTGCCTTTTCTTCACTACAAAATATTTGATCGATGTTAAGAGATCGCGTTCGAGTTCATTACTAGAAGGATATGAAATACCTGGATAGGTGCAATAGTAGTTGAATTAGTCTTAGAATACAACTTACCTGACAAGAACCTTTCTCTACTGACGGATCGTGCGCGCAAACGTGCGTAGCATAGATGTTATATCCCATGCTGCCGTACATATCCTTGCAGTACTCTTGATCAGCGATGAGAATGTTGACTCTTTGTAGCTTATCAGTGGATGGTCCACCTGACTGTAATTTCGCAACAATATTTGCAATTGCTCTCAGTGTAACATTATTTATCTCTCATTCATTTTATACTAGAGATGTCATAAATATTTAAATATATAAGAATGATTGCTATTTATCGCATCCGCGTTTCTACTTGGAAGTTACAGACTGAACGATATTTAAAACTGCGAAAGACATACCCAGAGGTTGCCCCATCCTGACACGACAGCTATATCGTTGGCCTTAACGACGTGTCCCTTTGGTGGCAGAGGGACGCGTTTCATGGTGGAAGATTCTTTGAAGGGAGTTTTCACCTGAAAGACATTTTACATGAGATTTATAATTTTTGATTAAAAACAATTGAAGAGGTCGTAGTTTCCTCGTAAAGCAAAAGGTAATTTAAACCACGTTCACCTTTAGTAAAGCAATATCGTTAATCCAGGAATTAATTTCGTTGTAGTCTTTATGCACAATGATTTTTTCGACTTCATGCTGTGATTTCGGATCACTTAACTTGAGCGACCCAGCAACAACTTTTAGTCCCGTGGCAGATTCGCTACGAAATGATCAGTATAGTCAATTTTAATCTTAATATTAAATATAAAACAGTATGCATGTTATATTTCTTGCATCAGTGAAATGATATTTAGACGAACGTGCGGAAGTAATTATAGCAGAATGATATATTAGTATGATAAAGATGAAATTATTTTATTGTAAAAGTAATAATAATAATAATAAGTACTCTTCGACGCAGTGAGCTGCTGTGATAACATAGTTATTGTTCAGGATGCTGCCGCCACAGAAGTGGAAGTTATTACCTTTGTATTGAAGAGATACCTGTAAAAATCACCAGTCCGTTAATATCTGCTCATTTACTCGTGTAATATTTTTATGTAAACGTTTAACTAAAATGGACATTATTTATATATGAGTATTATAATTAATATATGTTTTGGTATCGCGTACCTGATATGGAATCTCGCCTAGTTTGGCATCCTCTCCATTGACGATCCTAGGATCGAACAGTGGAAGGACTCCAGCTGCAGCAATAAGTCATTACTGTTATAATATATCTAGTGTAGCTGAAAAGACGCAATCTTCGCAAAGATTTACATTATAGTAATAAGATAAGAACAATACTTATACTATAACTTATAATAATAACTAATAAGAAAGTTTGTCCTTTATGTGTATTTTGATAGCGAATTTTTGAATCTTTGTGAATTGACAATCTTTCAGCACAAGTTTTAAATTATTATGAATAGTATTGCAATTATTTCCGTAAAAGTAAACTTTTAACTTCTTTAAGAAGCCTCTTAGATTTGAAAGATTACTTTCAGAAACTTTGATTTCACTTGAAGTAAATTTTCCCCAAGGGTCTTTAAGGGTTCTACATTAATTTGTATTATTTAAACGAGTGGTTATCGATCAACCTGAGAAAATCATGACTTACCATAGGAGAAAGCCAGTAAGCTGAGGAGACACAAAATTCTCAATGCCATTGTGTGGTGACTTGTCTGACCAAAGCCTGATTTGAAATCGTTGAAACGGTGAATTTATATGTACCTGTGTTTCAAATTTCCTCACCCCGCTTCCGTGCAATTTATCTAATAATCGACAAGTGTATACTAAGAAGTACAGATTAGATACATAAATTGCAAAAGTTAATATCGGTGAGATTGTACTGATAATATACGGTGAGATTGTACTGATACGGACTAAAATATCTCATTGTCTTGATCAGCACGTGACACTTTCTGTGTCATGGAAATTTTCTTCTTTCAAAACGCTATCTTAATTCATTTTATTACGGTTTCATATATATTTGTTGATTCCATATTGTATTCTTTGTGGAAATATTAAAAGTAATAATGTAACTATTTTTATTTATTCATCCATCATGTCGAACTTTGTATAAATTAAAAAATTTCTTTGTTCACGAATTTTCATTTGAGGTATTTTTGATAATGTATATGTCAAAATTAAATATAAATTTTCGTATATTTGGAATAAACATAATATACGTATTATAATAATGTTATTTTAATAAATACTTTCAACGATATTTTTCTTATCATTTTTCGAAAACAATCGTTCTGTCGACTTCTGTTGAACTTTTCATGTATAACGTAATCTTGGATTTTCCCGTCTCTCGTAATCTCGCTAGATGAATTTTTTGCATGATTCTTCGATATGGGTAAATTATTGTTAAGAAAATGATCCAACAGCTCGAAGTCCTCTGGATTCGATTCGTGATGAATACGGGCAACAATTGGGGAGGGTATGTTTATCAGTAGTTTTCTTTGCGTGAATCAATAATATTTATTTCGTAACAAAAGTGTATAGAATTTTAGAGCACCTGTTACGCACAAACTTATATTTCATTGCAATTATATTTAAGGACTACATTAAGGAATATAATTACAATACATAAAAACATATTTCTTTCTCAATTTTACGAGCTAATATTTAGAAAATTATGTATAATAATAATAACAATGAAGAACAGAGAATGGATCCTAGTTAGAACCGAGTAAGATTGTGTTAAACTGCGTTTGCCTTAATCCAATCCAGGTAAGATACGACACGTGTATACACAACGGGTAAGGTAGTGTCGTCGCAATGATACGCCCAGGATACTAGTCCAACGAGTTTCCCATCAACAATCAATGGGCCACCAGAGTCACCCTAGAGATAGAAAGGTGTCATTTTAAATTTCATTTGTCTAGATAACATTCTGTGCATTTGTTTCACCACTATTTTAAATATTTGTTGGTCCTTAAGCGGTTTAGAACTTATTACTGTAGATATTAAATAAATGAACAAATGCAATGGTAGTTGAAATGTTGAGAAACACTTACATGGTAATGACCATTCTCTACTGGTGGGCTACAAATATGCGTGGGATGTACCGTGTATCCCATATGCTTGTACTTATTCTTGCAGTGCTCTTGATCAGCTATGAGAAAGTTGTCTCGTTGTAGTTGAGGAGTGGATGGTCCACCTAGCTGCAATTTCGCAGTAATATTTATATTTGGTTCTAAAGTGAGACAAATACTAATTATCTTTTATTCTTTTACGCAAAATATTAGAAATATTTAGATATTATAATAATGAGATACGAATTATTGCTATTTGTCGCGCCCGCGTTTCCACATGGAAGTTACAGATTGATCGATATTTGAAATGGCGTAAGGCTTACCAAGAAGCTGCCCCATCCCGACACAACAGCCACATCGTCGACATTAACAACGAAGTCCTTTGGTGGCAAAGGGACGTGTCCGATGGTGGAAGATTTTTTTAAGGGAGTTTTTGCCTGAAAGATTATTTTAAATTTATAATTGTTTATTAGAAAGGAATCGGGAAGATCTTAATTCCCTCGTGTGAAAAGAAATTTTAAACCGTACACACCTTTAGTAATGCAATATCATTAACCCAGGAATTACCGGGATTATAGTCTTTGTGTATAATGATTTCTGCGACATCGTGCTCCGACTTCGGATCAGTTAGGTCGTTCGTTCCAGCAATAACTTTTATTTCATCGGCAGTTTTACTGCAATACGAAATGTATAACTGTTTAAATCTAAATATATAATGTAGTGAGATGCATTTCTTACATTCGTAGAATAATATCTACACGAATGTAAGGTGGAAAGTTTATAGTAGAATGACATTAGTTATACACACAAAATTATTATGTTAAAAGTAATAATAATAATAAAATCACACCTGGAAACACAGTGAGCTGCCGTGATGACATAGTTATCGTTCAGGATCGAGCCGCCACAGAAATGGTGGCGATTATCTTTTCGTTGAAGAGACACCTATAAAAATCATAACTTTCTAATATCTGTTCATTTCTTCGTGTAATATTGTCATACTAGTTAATATCTATATTTTTAATTTTTCTAACGAAGATATCTTTTGGAAACATATATACCTGAGATATGAGTGAGGGAACCTCAGCTGCAACAATAAGTCTATATTATTATACGAAGCCTAATTTTTCAAAGGTTTAAATTATAATAAGAAATACAAATGTTAGTGTTTCTGTCTTTCTCTCTCAAATTGCGAAGTTTTTTTATTTTGGCGAATTGACAATTTTCAGCAAAGGGTTATTAATATGAACAGTTTTGCGATTATTTGTAATAAAGTATGTACTGGTTGACAGATAGATCAAAGAACATCATTTATATGAATAATATGGTACAGCAAAGCGATTTTATCCCTAAAGTACCAGGGATCTACTATTAATTTGTATTCACTGGAACGAAAGATTTATTGATAAACCCAGAAGGGTTATTACTCACCATGGTCATCTTTCAGATATTTTTCAGTGACTCTCGCCACACATCTGTCTAATTCGTCTAGTCTCAAATTAATTCTTTCCCATTTCTCTTTTATTAGAAGTCTCTTCTTCATTGTTCCAGATAATTCTATAATAAAATTTAAATAATTTTGCATTTACTAAATGAAAGAAACAGCTGTATCGAAATAGCGATACGCATGAGAGTCACACGGCTGGCTTAAACTGGGAGAAGACCAAGAAGATACAGAATTCTCAACGCCATTGTCTGATCACTGACCGAAGCCTGAATTGAAATTGTCGATACTGCAAATTTATATGTACTTGTTTCTAATCGTTTTGCTCCACTTTCGTACAATGTTTCCGATAAAGAAATTTTTTGTAGAAAACAGGCTAGAAAATAGATTAGACAGATTAATTGCAAGAAGTATGATATCGGAAATGTCGAACTGAGACAGATTGAAATGATCCATTGTCTTCATAGGTATACGCGATACTGCGCCATTAGAAATTTATCCTCCCAATTTTATTGCATTTTCGTAATTCATTGCGATTTTGTATATTTAATAATTTTATAATTTCACCAAGTACGTAAGTTCTTCAGATTGCCAGTATTAATAATTAAATTTCAAAATGTCAATCGACCTCAGCTGGTCACACAAAGAGTAAGGCCGGTATTCATAGTCAGATCTTGTATTCAAGACCATCTTAAGGTCATCTTTAGATACTCCGTAGCCAATGAAATGTTCCATACAGCATCTTTAGATAAATTCAAGACGGTCTTGAATAGAAGATCCGACTATGAATACCGGCCTAAGTGTTTTACATATAAAATTACGTGAGAGGTATACAGGCATTGCACAGTATCGCCGAATAATTATAGGCATACCTTGTTACGGAGTGATGTCAAGTACAAGTAAAACCGCATCTTAGCGGGATAGAGTTCTGTGTTAAGTTCAAAATTTCACTAACGTCCGGAGCTGAGGGATCTACGACCGCGACTCAGTAGTCATTTTAGTATTCGAAGATCGGGCAACCGCGATAAACATATAGGACAAACAAACCAAGACAGTCAGAGATGATTTTGAAATATAAACAAAACCAAGTTAATAATTTTGTGATATATCGGATTGACATTATCTGTGTTATTTTTTAAATTGATAGTATTCTTAGTTTTCTTGATGAAAAACATTTCCGCGATACGTTGTGAAAACGAATTTAATAAATGTGGCCAGCAGAGGTCAATTGACATTTTGAAATTGTATAATTTCATATATTTAATAATTTTATATTTAATAATGAAACATGATAAATGATATTTTCTAACTCGGTAGACAACATTATTTAATTTTTATCCTTGCGGAAGTAATCCACTCATTAGAGTTATTGTTCAGTAACTTGTCTGCAAATAACTTATTTGTTAGCTTACAATAAGATACGAAATTATATGTTTAGTCTTATCCCTTTTTTGACTGTTTCTATTTTTGGCAAAAAAATAATCTTTTCTTGGCAGATTCGTACAATATGTTATATTATATTGTCACAACTTAATAAAAATAATTGCCATGTCCGTTTTCGGTCAGTACATTAAAGGGACAATGCCACTCTAGAATTGTAAAAAATGCAATTTTTTTTGCTTAAATGATGCCGCAAAGTCTTAGAAATGAGGTACAATAGTGTAAGAGGCAAGGGATAAATTTTGATGACGAAAACTGTTAGGTAGACTAGATTATAGCGACATGGGCCAACAAGCGTATTTTGAACAGGTGACATTAGCAAGGGGACATGCAAAAAATAGAAATAATAAGAAATGTGAGACAATGACGGGCTAAAAGCCGGAGAGGACGAGGAGTTCGTTGCGAGCCGTTATAGAGAACGGTAGAGAAATCGAGTGTTTCAAGAGAGAAAAGGCAAGTGACTGCCTGTGTAATATATTGAATTCTTAAGTTTTGTGTGCTTGGGGCCATTTGTTCATTAAATTATTAAATTGTTTATTTTACGCCCTTTTTGTTTATTAAAATCCTATATATCTTACAATAGTTTTTATAGAGGGGAAAAGGTTTTAAGTCTTATTTCTTGACCTGCGGCTGACTCCTGCAGCGCGCTCCGAGCCCTTTCAATAGAGGCCGGGCTGTCTAAGAAAGGAAGAAGAGGAGAAGAATATCCATTTTTAGAAGATCAATTGTATAGTCAGGCATCGTAGACCCAGATAAATGTGACTTAAAACTTTAAACGCGTTTTTCTTCAAACTGGCCAGAAACAACTACAACAGATTTTCATCAATTTATTTAAAATTTTAACTGTAGCTTCAAAAATATGTTATCTAGAGAAGTATGTACGGATTTTACGTTTTGTTGTAAACTTTTTGTTATAAACAATTTTTAATTTCCGTACGTACTTCTCGAGCTAATCTTATATAAAACACAAAAATTCTTGGTTTTTAGTTAAAGTCCAAAAATTGGAAGAGAAATCTTCCCGACCGCGGAACACCATCCATGAGAAGAGGCTTTCCTTTACTGAGCTCTGGTTACGCACTGCGATTTTTCTAAATTATCTTTATAAATGCTATACATAGCATTTATTACGATGAACCCCCTCCCCATATTAAAAATTAAAATTCTTATTGCGAAAAATATTACCTCACCCAGGTTTCGAACCTGGGACTCAATCCGTGATTAGGTAAAATGTTTACCTTTTTAGTCGCGTTTTTTAAGGTTAGAAGATAGTCTTGAAATCCTAAGTGCTTGACCCAAAAATATTGTTACTTGACTATCGAAACTAAAACTCCGTGTTCTGGATATGCGTAAGAGAATCAGTGTGTAGTACGTAATTGAGTGTGGAATTAACACGTAAAAGTAACTATGAGTTTTTCAAATTATGTATGATGCTTTCGCTCCTACGTATCCAGAAAAATACCAGAAACCGTCCTCGCTGGGGGTCTCCTACCAGGGGACACAGCTATTAGTGGAAGGGAGATACTTTTTCTATGATGTCTGGACCCTGAACTACTAGTGTTTTCCACTAGGGAAACTACCCAGTGAGAAATAATTCGTCTATCGATGTCGAAACGATGTCGAATCCATGATGTAAAAAGAAAGGTGTAACAACATCGTGTATGCGCAGTAGTCATGTGCATTTGGACCCAAATTTCATTGGCTCGCTCATCGTGCGCCGCCGCTATGCGCAATGATACACCTTTCTTGCAGTAGCTATGTGCATTTGGACCCAAATTTCATTGGCTCGCTCATCGTGCCGCCGCCGCTATGCGCAATGATACACCTTTCTTTTTACATCATGGTCGAATCGACGTCAATTTGACGGTATCGATATCGATTCGACATACGTGTCGTCCACCGAAAAAATAATAAAATATATTGTCCAAATCTCGTCGAGAATTTTAAATAATCTTGATTTCGTCAAGATTTTGGTATTCGCTGTGTGCGTAGAGACTAGTGCTGCCGTGGTTGGTGAAATGTCGCATATTTTGCTGGAATAGCTGTCAATGATTGCTAATATTCAAGTTACGTAAACTGTCGTGAGGTATCTTGATATTTTTAGGTCTCTTTATAATTTCGATGAAAAAATTTTCGTTATATTACAAAACATTTGCTATAGATTTTTCATTATACGTGTAGGTTCCCAGACAGCACACATGTCTAAAAGATATCTTTAATGCCCGATTTCTTCACATCCAGTTATGTTACGGTTAAAGTTAAACGGGAGATAACTACCAGATCCATGCACGTGATTGGCCAAAACTTGAGATTAACCTCCGGATAATTTTATCGGGAAGTGAAAAAATCGGCCATAAGACGTCATTAAGTTATCTTTTAGACATGTATGTCTTAAAGATATCTTTATGGCGCCTTTTAGACATGTGTGCTGTCTGGGTTAACTTCTCTAACTTTTGCAATGAGCCTTATCATACGAACGGGATTTGGATCCATTACTCATGACATTAAATTTAATCCGAGTGCAATACCGAAAGGAAAAGCCTTAGCAATATCGCATGTAGTTCGCGTTGAAGAATTGCGCAGTAAAAATATAAGTCATTTAATAAGATGCAGTGTGATACCGCAAACGTCTGTCAATGCTACTCCGTACAAGGTACAATTGCATGTAAGTATTAAATGAAATTTAAGTAAAATCCCAGACAACGTTATGTCGTCTTAAAGACCTCTTAAATATGTGAAATACATTTTTACATGAATACACGCAACAATTTAAATTTCCCTTTCGCAATTTTTCCATTTTTCGATAATTGTCACTCCAGCAAATAATGCAAACTTCGGCCACCATGAGCGCCCTAAGTCCTACTTTTCCGCTATAGTATATCATAATGAACATAGACATCTATAGACGGAGCCTTTGTATGAGGGGTAACTGATAATCGCGGCAAGGGGATCACTCATCTGACATCGACTCTCTCCGGTGAAATTCGGTAATACTCGGTTCATATTTCCAATACGTGTGCACACATATATGTATACGGCGCGTTGCTTGTGTGCGAGCGTGCGCGCGCGCGTGGCCGAATGGATCATCCCCTCCAACTTGGAGTGGGGCACGCGCACGCTCGCACACAAGCAACGCGCCGTATATAGGTGTGCACATGTATTGGAAATATGAACCGAATATTACCGAATCTCACCGGAAAGAGTCGATGTCAGATGAGTGCCTCCCGCGCCCCGAATATCAGAACCCCTCTTGTCCAGAGTTGTAGCTAATGCTCCGTCTATAAATGTCTATGGCCCGGTTTCACCAACGCGAGTTAATCTAATCGGTCGGTTAACTTTCAGGGTGCCAACATAAAACTTCTTTATTAACCCAATTTCTTGGTATCAGTTTTGTGTTCGGCTGTTGGCACCCTGAAAGTTAACCGACCGATTAGATTAACTAAGCTCGATATCGATCTCGAATGTTACAAGTAATCTCGATTTCGAGACGAGATCGAGATGAGAACGAGACTTTTCTCATCTCGTGCGCATCTCTACTATCCAATAACTCAAAATCTCCTGGATTTGATTCGTGATGAGTTGTGGACGACACTAGTGGCATGACAATTTCTCATCGCGATCTTCTCGGTGGAGATAAATTCATCAGTGGCTTTCTTCGAATGAATCACTAATATTTATTTCTTCGAATATATGTACAGAATTTGGAGGATACCTATATTATGTACAGTCCCTACGTCACATCGTTATCATACATGTTTTACATAAAGAAATATATCTTTTTCTACCACTTTTAAATTTGACATATAGAAAATTATACGAAGGACAGAGTATGAATCATAGTTGAAAGCGTGATTGGTTTAGACCGCGTTAGCTTTAATCCAGTCCAGATAAGAGACAACACGTGTGAAGACGGTAGGGTAAGAGGTGCTGGCGCAACCTCTCGCCCAGGATACCAGTCCAACGAGTTTTCCACCAACAGTCAATGGACCCCCAGAGTCACCCTGAAAAAAGCAAGGTGCCGTTTCAACTTTGATGTGTCGTTTATCTTTTGTGCCTTTTCTTCACTACGGCTTTAAATATTTGATCGAACTTAAGAGATCGCGGTATCGAGTTCATTACTAGAAAGATATGAAATACACGGACAGGTGCAATAGTAGTTGAAATCTTCGAAAACAACTTACCTGACAAGAACCTTTCTCTACTGATGGGTCGTACGCGCAAACGTGCGTAGGATAAATGTTAGATCCCGTAGTGTTGTACATATACTTGCAGTACTCTTGATCAGCGATGAGAACGTTGACTCGTTGTAGCTTGTCAGTGGATGGTCCACCTGACTGCAATTTCGTAACAATATTTGTAATTAGTCTCAGAGTGACACTAGTTATCTCTCATTTATTTTGTACTAGAGATGTCATAAATATTTAAATATATATGAAGGACCGCTATTTATCGCATACACACTGAATGATATTTGAAACGGCGAAAGACATACCCAGAGATCGCCCCATCCTGACACAACAGCTATATCGTTGGGTTTAACGACGTGTCCCTTTGGTGGCAGAGGGACATGTCCGATGGTGGAAGATACTTTGAAGGGAGTTTTCACCTGAGAGACATTTTACTTGAAATTTATAATTTTTTATTTAGAAAAATGGAGAGGTCGTAATCTCCTCGAAAAGCAAAAACTAATTTAAACCATATTCACCTTTACTAAAGCAATATCGTTAATCCAGGAATTTCTCGCGTTGTAGTCTTTGTGTACAATGATTTTCGTGACTTCATGCTCTGATTTCGGATCACTTAACTTGATCGTCCCAGCAACAACTTTTAGTCTACCCGCAGGTTCGCTACGAAATGATCAATAAACCAATTTTAATCTTAATATTACATATAAAACAGTGTGCATGTTACACTTGTTGCATCAGTAAAATGATATTTAGACGAACGTGCGGAAATAATTATAGCCGAATGATATATTAGTACGACAAAGATGAAATTATTTTATTAAAAGTAATAATAGTAATAAATACCCTTCGACGCAGTGAGCTGCTGTGATAACATAGTTATTGTTCAAGATGCTGCCGCCACAGAAGTGGAAGCTCTCACTTCTTGTTTGAAGAGATATCTGTAAAAATTATCAGCCCTCTATTATCTGCTCATTTACTCGTGTAATTTTTTCATGTATACGTTTAATTAAAATGGAAATTATTTGTATATGAGCATTATAGGCACTAGTTTACATATATGTATATATACCGTCTACTTTTATAGTGAATATATATTTTGTTCTCGCGTACCTGATATGGAATCTCGCCTAGTTTGGCATCCTCTCCGTTGACGATCCTAGGATCAAAGAGTGGAAGGACTCCAGCTGCAGCAATAAGTCATTACTGTTATAATATATCTAGTGTAGGTGAAAAGACGCAATCTTCACAAAGATCTACATTATAGTAATAAGATAAGAATAATACTTTTACTATAACTTATAATAATAAGAAAGTTTGTCCTTTATGTGTATTTTAATAGCAAATTTTTGAATCTTTGCGAATTGACAATCTTTCAGCACAAGTTTTAAATTATTATGAACAGTAGTGCAATTATTTTCGTAAAAGTAAACTTTTAATTTCTTTAAGAAGCCTCTTAGATTTGAAAGATTACTTTCAGAAACTTTAATTTCACTCGAAATAAATTTTCCCAAGGGTCTTTAAGGGTTCTACATTAATTTGTATTATTTAAACGAGCGGTTATCCATCAACCTGATAGAATCATGACTCACCATAGGAGAAAGCCAGCAAGCTGAGGAGACACAAAAATCTCAGTGACATTTTCAGGTGACTTGACTGATCGAAGCCTGATTTGAAATCGTGACACGGGTAATTTATATGTACCTGTTTTCAATTTCCTCACCCCGCTTCCGTGCAATTTATCTAATAATCGACAAGTTTTATTAAAGAAATATAGATTAGATAAGTTTATTACAAAAGTTAATATCGGAGAGATTGTACTGATACGGATTAAAATATCTCATTGTCTTGATAAGCACGCGATACTCTCTGTGTCGTGGGAATTTTATTCTTTCAAATCGTTATCTTAATTCAGTTTATTACGGTTTCATATATATTTGTTGATTTCATATTGTATTTTTTTTTGAAATATTAAAAGTAATAATGTAACTAGTTTTATTTATTCGTCCATCCTATCAAACTTTTTATAAGTTTAAAAATTTGTTAGTTCGCAAAGTTTCAATTGAGAAATTTTTGATAACGTATATGTCAATATTAAATATAAATTATCGTATATTTGGAATGAACATAATGTGTTGTAATAGTGTTATTTTAAGAAATACTTTTAACGATAATTTTCTTATTATTTTTCGAAAACAATAATCGTTCTGTCGACTCCTGTTGAACTTCTGATGAGTAACGTAAGCTTGGATTTTCCCGTATCTCACAGTCTCGCTCGATGAAGTTTTCGTATGATTCCCCAGTGAGAAATGATTCATCGATCGATGTCGAAATAATGTCGATTCGACGTCACTTTAACGGTGTCAATATTGATTCGATATCGTTTCGACATCGATCGACGAATCATTTCTCACTGGTCTTTGGATACGGTTCAATTGTTGTTAAGAAAATGATCCAATAGCTCAAAATCCTCTGGATTCGATTCGTGATGAATACTGGCGACGTTTGGGGAGGGTAAATTTATCAGTAGTTTTCTTTGAGTGAATCAGTAATAATTATTTCGTTGCAAAAGTGTATAGAATTTTAGAACACCTGTTACGCACAAACTTATATTTCATTGTAATTATATTTAAGGTCTACATTAAGGAATATATTTACATAAAAAACATATTCCTTTCTTAATTTTACGAGCTGATATTTTGTTTGAAATGGCAATAAAAAAATTGAGACAGGGCACGCTCAGGGCGCGGGGATCGCAGGTTTGGACTTAAAGCGTTCGGGTGTTTCTTTCGAACATCAGTATGAGCACTAAATAGTTTTATTACTTTCTCTGTATTGCAAATACGTTTTGTGTTATTTAACATAATTAGAAAATTCTGTAGAGATGAATAGAGAACGGATCTTAGTTAGAACCGAGAAGGATTGGTTTAAACTGCGTTTTCCTTAATCCAATCCAGATAAGACACAACACGTGTATACACAGTGGGGTAGGTAGTGCTGGCGCAACCACTCGCCCAGGATACCAGTCCAACGAGTTTTCCACCAACAGTCAATGGGCCACCAGAGTCACCCTGGGGATAGGAAGGTGTTGTTTTAAATTTGATTTGTCTAGATTACATTCTGTGCATTTCTTTCATCACAATTTTAAATACTTGATCGTCTTTAAACGGTGTCGAGCTTATTACTGTGGATATTAAATAAATGAATAAATGCAATGGTAGTTGCAATGAAACGTTGAGGAAAGACTTACATGGCAAGAACCCTTCTCTACTGATGGGTCGTGTGCGCAAACTTGCGTAGGATGAACCGTGTATCCCATATTCCCGTACTTATTCTTGCAGTACTGTTGATCAGCTATGACAATGTTGACTCGTTGTAGCTTAGTGGTAGTTGGTCCACCTAGCTGCAATTTCGCAGTAATATTTATATTTGGTTCTAAAGTGAGACAAATACTAATTATCTCCTATTCTTTTACGCAAAATATTAGAAATATTTAGATATTATAATAATGAGATACGAATTATTGCTATTTGTCGCGCCCGCGTTTCCACATGGAAGTTACAGATTGATTGATATTTGAAATGGCGTAAGGCTTACCCAGAGGCTGCCCCACCCCGATACAACAGCTACATCGTTAGCCTTAACGACGTGTCCCTTTGGTGGCAGAGGGACGTGTCCGACAGTGAAAGATTTTTTGAAGGGAGTTTTTACCTGAAAGATAATTTTTATTTAAACATTTTTAATTTTTGATTTAATTTCCGCGGGCGAGAGAAACATTTAAGCCGTACTCACTTTCAGTAATGCAATATCGTTAATCCAGGAGTTAGAGACATCATATTGTTTGTGCACAATGATTTTTTGGACTTCATGCTGCGACTTCGGACTAGAAAGGTTGATCGTTGCAGCAACAACTTTTATTCCACTGGCGGATTTGCTACAACACGAAATATAAGAATTGCTTTAATCTTTATTCAAATATATAATACTGTGAGACGTATTTCTTATACATTAATGAAATCATATTTATATCAATGTATGGACAAGTCGATAGTAGAAAAATATATTAGTGTGAACATACGAAATTGTCTTATTAAAAGTAATAATAATATTAATAATGATACCTGGAAACACAGTGAGCTGCCGTGATGACATAATTATCGTTCAAGATAGAGCCGCCGCAAAAGTGGAAGTCGCTATATTTTTCTTGAAGAGACACCTGTAAAAATCATAGTCCTTTAATATCTACTCACTTCATACGTTCATACATTTAATTAAAACAGAAAATATTTATAGTGTATAATCAAATTAATAATCAGCCTTTGAACAAAAAAATTGGAATGCAGCAATTCCTGATTACTCAAATTGTGTCTGGTAGTAGGTAGTTTCTGATCAAATCGGTATCCAATTCCTGATCATAGAAAATATGTAGTACGAAACGAACGGAAAAATACTAAAACAGATTTATTTCTTTAAATAATCAAGAAATATGGAAGAGCTTATGATTTATTTTTATAAAGACTTGTCCATTAGAAGATTTAAATGTTTCACATATGCTTTCAAAAATAATTAAATATTATTGTCAATTTTTAATGCTAATTCTTGCAATGCTAAGTCCAGTATAATAAAATTTACTATAAAGTGATCAGAAACTGGATCTCTGGATCCTTGACGTTCGCTTTAATATCGTGTACCTGATATGGAATCTCGCCTAGTTTGGCATCTTCTCCATTTACAATCCTAGGATCAAAGAGTGGAAGAACTCCAGCTGCAGCGATAAGTCATTATTATTACACATATATAAAACTGGAAAAACCCAATTTTTACAAAGATTTAAATTATAATGAGTAATAAATATATTTGTTCTTCACGTATTTTAATAGCGACTTTGAAATTTTTGCAAATTGGCAATGTTTTAGCACAAATTTTATTGAAAATTATTATGCGAACTCTTTTGCAATTATTTCTAATCATTTAATGATTTATTGATTCATCAAAGAAAATCGTTTAAGTGACTAATACGACACAATAAAGCGGTTTTTCCCAAGATATTTCTAAGAGCACATTCTACATTAATTTCTATTGTTTGAACATGTGATAATTAGTTAACCTAAGAGGATCATGACTCACCATAAGAGAAAGCCAGAAGGCTAAGAAGACATAAAATTCTGAATACCATTGTCCTGTTCACTGTCCAAAGACTGATTTGACATCGTTGACACCACGAATTTATATGTGCCGGTTTCTAATTTCGTTACCCCACTTCTGTAAAAATTGTCCAATCGACAAGTTGTTTCACGAAATGATTAGATAGCTCAATTACCAAGTGTGATAACGGAGATTTACTGATACGAATTGAAATGATTTAATGATAAACGTAGGACACTGTGTCACGGAAATTTTGTTCTTTCAAAATGTTCTACTAATTCAGTTCATATCATGTGTATTTATTTATATTTTACATTATTTTTAAAACATGAAAATTAATAATTTAATAATCTAAGTAATTCTATCAATGCATTTATCATGCCGCATTTGTAATTTTTTGTAAAATTAAAAATTTCTCAATCCACAAATTTTTATTTCAGATACTTTTAAAATAACAGTGCGTCTCTGCAAAGATGAAATATTAATTTTAGTATTTAGATTGGACATAATTTGTAATATGTTATTAAAATGTCTTTTTTAATCGATATTTTTAAATGTCGATATTTTAATCGATGTGTTTAATATCTTAACATTTAAATTTTGTATATTAAACATTTTTATTTTTTATCGTTTTAATTTAAATTTTGTATATTAAACATTTTTATTTTTTATCGTTTTGAGAAGGCATTAATCGTATTCTATCGACTTCTGTCGTCATTGTCTCATCCCTCTTATTCTTAATCTAAGATTTTAAGTTAAAAAAACTAATATATGTATGATATGAGGTTGGATTTTGCCGTATCTCTTAATCTCGCTCGATGAATCTTTCGCACGACTCTTTGATGCGATTAAATCGTTATAAGTATTATCAAAAAATTCTTGAACGATATGAGAATCATTCGTCTGTGCACTATTAATAGCATATCATTTAATGAAACACAATGAGTTAGTTTTTATAACACTGTAGACAACACTTTTTATCTGTGCAAAAGATCTACACAACAGAGTTATTGCTGACTAACTTGTTTGCAAACCGTGTACCTATTAATTTTATATGGATGGCCATTAGAGTCTCATTATTTTCTTATCTTTCTATATTTTTGACCAGTAAAAATAGTCTTGTTACCAGATTCGAACAAAATTTTACATTAAAAATAAATTAAATGTCGCAAGATTTTTACAATATCTTTAGAATATTTAAAAAAATATATATATAATAATATAATAATATAATAATATATAAAAGTCTCACTAGAGAGTGATACATTTAATAATAATTTCCGTTGGAAATAAGCAACTATTAGGCTCTTTATGCCGTAAAACAAAGTTGCGAGTGAATGGAACTTATCATGCGACTCTCGGAAGAATGGCGAAAACAAAAATAAAATTTTATTAGCAATGGAAATATAATGGCAGAATATAATTCTGTATGAATCTGCATTCGGTACACTGAAAAAAATTTCTGGTTAAATATGGACGAATCAGATAATTCCTTTAGGATTTACCAGAATTCCTTTAGGATTTACCAGAATTCCTGTAATCCTACAGAAATTCTGGTAAATCCTAAAGGAATTCTGGTAAATCCTAAAGGAATTATCTGATTCGTCCATATTCAACCAGAAATTTTTTTCAGTGTACGATCCGCATTCGTTTTCTTGTAGCTTTCGACTAGCAGCTGCTTCATTGCAGTTGCAGTTCAACTTGTTCTTGTTCAAAAAGTTCCTAACGTCTGTTATTAATAAAAATAACTTCCTAGGAAAAAACAAATGTAATAAGTTCGTCTATATCTTGATATCGTTCTTCTCTTTCTGGCGGTCGCAGCTTGCCGCAAGTCCTTCTTTCGTTTCCGATTCCCTTTTCTATACTCGTGAATCTTAAGGAAAACATGCGCCTGATTTTCCGAAGAACGTCTCTTATTTTCTATTTTCTTTTCCACAAGTATAACGTCGCGTCGCTAGGCGTTATAAAGGAAGTAACAAGAATACACTTAGTGCTCTCTAAAAGTCAATCAGCGAATTATCGCTGAAAACAGTGACTATTCACTGTTTTCAGTGATAATCCACCGATTGGCTTTTAGAGAGTGAGCTACTATTGGCACGATTAACAAATATCTTCTATCTACGATAATGTATTACTGAATTGAGAATTGTCGTTATAATCGTGACTGTCAATTACGGCTAAAACGTGTGCGTCCATCGCTTTCGCTCTGCCAAGTGTCACCGGAAATGAGAGCAACACGTCAGTGCCGCGCGGTCACGGAGTATGTTTTCGCGACAGAGCCGGGGTTCTATTCGACTTTTAGCTCTATCCAATAGTTCTATATCGAAATTCACCTGAGTTCGATACGTGACAAACGATACATGATAAACGGCACCTGTCGTGCGACAATTCTTTGTCACGGGCTTTTTGGGTGGTCTAACTCCAGTGGTTTTTTTTTAATGAATCAGTAATATTTATTTCGTCGAAAATGTGTACAGAATTTGAGAGCACCTACTATGTACAACCCTATGTCGCATCGTTATCACACATTTTTTACATGAAAAAATATCTCCTTCTCTCGGTTGTAAGGACCGACATTTAGTAAGTTATACGAAGGACAGAGTACGAATCATAGTTGGAAGCTAGTAGGTTTAGACCGCGTTAGCCTTAATCCAATCCAGATAAGAGACAACACGTGTGAAGACGGTAGGGTAAGAGGTGTCGGCGCAACCTCTCGCCCAGGATACCAGTCCAACGAGTATTCCACCGACAGTCAATGGGCCACCAGAGTCACCCTGGAAAAAGCAAGGTGTTAAAATTTGATGTCTAGATTGCATCGCGGTTTTACTTGATCGTGCTTA